TTTGGAATACTCATTTGTTTATATCTGAAGCAAGGATTTAAAAGCAATAGTACATGTAGACGACGTGGAAGGGCATAGCAAACCTGGAAATATATATATATATATATATATTCTGTAATACATGCAGGCAACCCTGCACACGGCACCTGCTTTCAACGTCCTTCCAGGTCTTCTGACCGTCCGTTGCCACCTCGCGGGCGCGAACGCCTCGGGCGCCTCGGTACGGCTCACCTTGGGGCAGATGGAGCCGATGACGAAAACGCCGGAGCGGTGCGCGGCGTCGGCGGCTCGTTTTGGGAAGCCGGGGTGAACTGGGGGCTCCCAGTGGGATGGTTCGGTTGGCCCTGCGAAGCAGAACACAATTCTGGAGTCGCCTGAGAAAATAGGACCTTTTTCAGGTTGGCTACATTCAGGTACCCGTCGATTGGGGGTTGGATTGGTGGGGCGGTTTGAACCCCTGTAGAAGGCAAATGGGGTGGGGGGTCCAAACCACCAAAACCGAAAGCAAGTCAGCACTGATTTTTGGGGTTGCCCAGTTGGACATATACTTATGCGGGTCCACAGATTGGTAGGGTTTGTCTCAAATTGCTATGCAGCCCCCCCCCAAAAAAAAAACAAAAAACAAGCTCAGGTGATATCCCCAACAGCATGCGGTGCTCATTTTAGTGCTCGCACCACCCCGCAGCCCTCACAGAACCTCGTGAAACCCTAGTGGAATCCTGGTGGAACCCTCGTGGAACCCTCGTGGAACCCTCGTGAAACCTTATTTCAGGGCCGCCCCGGGCCACCCCGGAACCTATCTGGGCTGAGACCCCCAAGCTTTCAGCTGTTAGGGGAAAAAGAGAGCTGGTTTCCTTCGTTTTGTTTCTTGGGACAACCCCCAAGACGGCACCCTCAAACAGAACATATGCCTGCGTGTTGAAACCGGGAATCCTTTTTGCGGTTTGATGTCCAACTCTTGTGTGTACGGCTTCAAAGAATACAGGGCCCACGTGAGAAACATGTCGCCAAGGGTCGTGAGGAAGACGGGAAGTGGACAAAGTATGACGAGCTCACGGGGGGTGAAATGAGCTCACTCATGAAGGCCACTTTGCGTCCACTTGATCCGGACCTGAGATTGAAACCTCTAAACCCCTATACCCCTATACCCCTAAATCCATTTTTCCCGAGGTCAGACTAAAGAATGGCACTCTGACCCATGACCATTTCGATCGAAGCGCCGAATTGGAAGCCGAGGCATCGCCGTTGCAGGAGGAGGGTTGGTGTCTTTGCCAGACATAGCAGCGGTCATGCATGACTGTTTTCATATGTTGTTTGTGTTCCTTTTTTCCCCAACGATACCAAGCAATTATCTCCCTTGTTTTTTGGCACATTGTTTTGTTCTTTTCCCGACGACACCAAGCAGTTCGCTCGCTGGTTTTTGGCAAGAGCCTCCTTCGTCGCCCCACTTGGGATGTTCAGGCGGTCCGCTGAGGTGTGTGACTCTGCAGCTGCGGGTGCCCAAGGTGCGCCCCTGGAGCGCGGAGGACCCGTTTCTGTACCCCTTGCTCCTGGAGGTCACCGCCGGCGCCGCGGACGCGAACCGGACAAGATCCGAGGATGGAACTCCCCCGCTTTGGTGAACCCCAAGGCAACGCCCAAGAGAGCGACCTGAAGAAGAGGAACACACCACATGGATGTCTGGACATTTAAACCCAAGTTGTTCAGGGATTCCGCCCTTCAGATCTCTTTTTGTTTGGGTGGGTCTCCACTAAACACATGGAATCAACCCGACAAAAGCTGGTCCACTTCTCTTTGCACCAGGGACACACTGGGAGTGGGATAGGACTGGGGAACTCTTGATGGTCCCCTCGTGCGGATTCAGCCGGTCGCTTTGTGGTCAATACCAAGGGTGGTATCTTTGCAGCCACTCGACGGCTTTTGTGACCACTCCGAGGCTGCCAAGGGGGCGGCTCCAAAACCCCTAGGGTTCCTTGCCCCCCATCAAAAGAATGGCAAGGAGCCTATTTGGAGGATGACAATCCTTAGGTAAATCATGGTGGTTATATGAACCCAACCATTGGTTTGAATGGTGGCAACTGAAGCCTAGGGCAACGGGAATCCGCCTGTGCGTCGCTGGAAGCTGGGGACTGAGACTAGGTGAACTTTCTTCGGATCTGACGGCTCGGTGTTTGCTGCAACTTATTGCTAGTGGCCTATAGGCCTAGTGTTGCTGGTTTAGGTATATCAACCTGACAATTTGCTGAAACATTCAAGGTTGTTGACTGCGTACCGGCCAAGGTGCGACTGCGCAAGTGGAGCGCATCAAGGTGGGCTTTCGCTGCGTGGATATTCGTGACGGCCAGCTGCGGGTGAATCGGCGTCCCATTACGATAGCAGGAGCCAATGTTCATGAGATGCATCCGACCAGAGGCTGGGTTGTTCAAAATGATTCCTGAATACTGCTGCCACATGGTAGCGGTTTTCCTTGTTGCATAGGGATTTGGATTCGGGATCTCCTATTTAATCATTTTGACCCACCCGAAGGCAAGGCGATCACCGAAGAGGATATGATCTTGGACATCCAGTGCTTGAAGCGGGGCAACTTTAATGCCGTCCGGAACTGCCATTACCCACATCATCCACGGTGGTACGAGCTTTGCGATGAGTATGGCTTGTACGTCGTGGACGAGGCAAACATTGAGACACCCAGATTTCAAGGGTACCCCTTTTTGCCTTTCAGTTTTTTGTAGTCCCTTTAAGGTCAACTACCCTAAGATTCTTGGTATTCCGATGGAGCTGACCTCTCGCTGAGGACCCACGGCTTTGTGGAGAACCTAGCGATCTCGCTGCTGGCGTGTGACTGGGCATGGAGGGCCCAGTTCCTCCACCGCACGCGGAACATGTTTCAGCGCGCCAAGAATCATTGCTCGGTGATCGTCTGGTCCTTGGGCAGCCGGGCGGAAGAAGAAAAAAAGAGAACATGTTGAAAAGGAAGGGACCACTGGAAGCTTATGGAAGCTCAAAGGGGATGGGTCATTGTTATTTGCAAAAGGAACTCAATGGGAGACTGGTGATATATATATATATAATATATATATATATAATTGTGTATATTTTTCAAAAAAAAAAAAAAAAACAATGATGTGTTCAGACCTCATTGTTGCTTGTATTGGCAAAAGGAACCCAGAAGGGGAGACTGGTCAAATAAACAACTTGATGTGTTCAGACCTCAGAGTCCCAGGTAATGAGAGCGGCTGGGGTCCCAACTTTGCCGCCTGCATGGATGCGTTGCGGCGCTGGGACCCCCACGAGCGTCCGGTGCAATACGAAGGAGGACAGCGTTTTCGCCTGAAAGCAATGGCTCACCGCACCACAAGGCTGGTAGGCAATTGGTCCAAGGGGTCTACAGAAGTTTTCTTGTTGTTTTATTTGGATGTTGATACACGTTTAACCCAGCAAGCAGGACAGTACCCTGGTTATAGCTGTGGTGATTTTGTACAAGGGATCCTTCGTCTTCTTTTTCCCTTTTTCAGGGTTCATCTTTTAAGCCACGTGATGGGGTCGAATTTTACAGCAACGGAGGACAATCCCACGGTGACGCAGTGCTGCTCTTTGGGGATGGACAACAACCCTCCAGCGACATCATTTGCCCGATGTATTGGTCCCCACCCATGATCATGCCGCTGGCGGCAAACATGAACCACTGCCCGACTTAACTTGCCTTTTGGGTTTCCTTGGTTTCTATTGGGTTCCCTTTTAAGCACCAACACAAGTGAGCTTTGTGCAAGAGGTGCTGCCTGGCCAAGGAAGGACTCCTTGATGAGTCGCCCCGTCATCCTCTGCGAGTACAGCCATGCGCTGGGCAATTCCAACGGCTCCCTCCACTCCTACTGGGAGTTGTTCTGGTCTTCGAAGCCCGAGCACAGGCGCATGCAAGGAGACCCTTACTCTGAGAGCAGGGCGGTCTTTTGCCACCTTTTGTGAGAAAATGGGCGCCCCCCTCAAAAGGAATCCTTCACTACGAGGGGGTTGATCATTTTTCCACGAAAGCTGGCAAAAAGACCCCCTTGCTTACTCTGACCCGATTTGTTTCCCGGGAATCATAGAGCGCGGTTGGGAGGGATACAGATGGTGAAGTTGGTCCACATGGTCCTTTTGCGACTCGTTTAAAAGTTTGTTCGGGGGGTTCCTTTTAGCTTTTGGAACACTTTGTAAGTTGTGTCACCCCTTGTGCCTGATGGCATGAACAAACAGCAATACTGATCATTACCAATCTTTGAAGGACATCTTGGTAGCTTAGCCACAGCGAATGGAACCTGGGCTGAGTGCTGGCTCACTTTTTGATCGACCAACTGTCCTTTGGACAAATTGGTTGAAGTTGACAGCTCCCTGCAGTAGCAAAGTACGCTTTAGACATCTATCCTCATCAACAATCTGTGGGTGATTTCCCCCGAAACAAAGCAACGTTGATTGCTTGGCCGCTCGGCTTGGTTCTGAATTGGGTCCTAAACCCAGTCACCCGTACTTGTAGGCGGTGTGCAACCCCGTGTATGGCTAGACTAGGTCCCCCCCCCAGTAGTGCCCTTTTAACCTTCTTTGGGGGTAGGGTTCCGACTACAGAAAAAAGTTGGTACCAACTGATTCTAACCTCTCTAGTGGAGGACCTAGGCTAATGGCGAGCAAGGCTTCTACAGAGCGCGCCATGGCGATGTGCAACCTCGTGTATAGCTATCCCTTCTTCTAACCTCTCTAGTGGAGGACCTAGGCTAAAGGCGAGCAAGGCTTCTACAGAGCGCGCGGCCTGCGCCATGAGTCAGGAGGCTTTGTGTGGGAGTGGGCGGATGCTGCCGTCAAGGTGACCCGGCGCCGGACGCTGGATCCCGTCAATAAGTCCCAGGATGAGCCCTGGCTGGAAGGCGGGTGTCCACATGGCTTGTGCCCCGGGTCCCTCGCGGCCCCACCGGGGCGTGGGCCCGACCTGGGCGTGGGCTTAAAGAGAAACCAACAAGAGGCCACCAGGTTTTTTTTAGGAGGGGGGGTTCCCATATTTTGCTTTCACACATGGTGCTGTAGGTAAGTTGATTTTTGATGTAGGTAAGTTGTTGTTGTTTATTTTATTCTTATTTTTGCAGAAGGACACAACATTTCAACAATGCAAATACACAGGGGCTTGAAGACAAACATCTTATGATTATTTGAAAGGAGGGTATATGACTACCCCCATCGTGTTGGGGGTTGTGCAGCTGCACCTTTGTCAGAACAATCAATCGGTACTGTTCATGAGGTGACGGTTTAGCAGCAACGCCCCGCAAGTAAAGGGATCCATAGCTATGTCCCGGCGGGCGGCAGGCGATCGAAATCTTCGATTCGTAGCGGATCAGTCAGTCGTATGGGTCGGCCAATTCTGTCTAAATGTTTAGGGCTTTGCCATCGTTGACTGTGTGTGCGTGTGTGTTTGCGTGTAAGCAACGGGAAACAGAACGTCAACTGGAGCTTTGGGTCCTAGACCTAGAGCAATGGAGTCCAGTCCAGTCTGACTTCAAGTTTACTTTTGTCGCGTGTGTCACCGGTTTTCCTGCAAATCTCACTTTCCTCAGCTTCGGCCCTGGCGGTTTTCAAGGTTTGGCCCAAGGCTTTTGGGGGTTTGAACAGACCTGTGAGATGCCCATCTGGGTGAATTGTATCAAGCTTGGGCAGAACAAGCCCACCCATGATGAAGGTCACTGACTTGGGGAATCCATATAGTTCGAACCAAATTGGGAATCGTAGCAACATTCTTATCCACGACCATGAGGAAGTTCGGATAAGCGGTACCTACTGTACAACCCCAGCCTGAAAAATGGACAAAGACTATGGAGCGCCATGCGCCTATCCGACTCGGTGGGTTCAACTTCAGGGGGACTCTTGGGGTTGGTTAAACAAGACGCCAAAGGGGAACTGGCCCTTTTTGGGGGTTCTTGTATGTTGAGACCAACCCGCTTCACCCTTTTTGGGGGCTTTCGAATGTGGAGACAAAGCCATCGTTGACTGTGTGTGTGTGTGTGTTTGCGTGTAAGCAACGGGAAACAGAACGTCAACTGGAGCTTTGGGTCCTAGACCTAGAGCAATGGAGTCCAGTCCAGTCTGACTTCAAGTTTACTTTTGTCGCGTGTGTCACCGGTTTTCCTGCAAATCTCACTTTCCTCAGCTTCGGCCCTGGCGGTTTTCAAGGTTTGGCCCAAGGCTTTTGGGGGTTTGAACAGACCTGTGAGATGCCCATCTGGGTGAATTGTATCAAGCTTGGGCAGAACAAGCCCACCCATGATGAAGGTCACTGACTTGGGGAATCCATATAGTTCGAACCAAATTGGGAATCGTAGCAACATTCTTATCCACGACCATGAGGAAGTTCGGATAAGCGGTACCTACTGTACAACCCCAGCCTGAAAAATGGACAAAGACTATGGAGCGCCATGCGCCTATCCGACTCGGTGGGTTCAACTTCAGGGGGACTCTTGGGGTTGGTTAAACAAGACGCCAAAGGGGAACTGGCCCTTTTTGGGGGTTCTTGTATGTTGAGACCAACCCGCTTCACCCTTTTTGGGGGCTTTCGAATGTGGAGACAAAGCCATCGTTGACTGTGTGTGTGTGTGTGTTTGCGTGTAAGCAACGGGAAACAGAACGTCAACTGGAGCTTTGGGTCCTAGACCTAGAGCAATGGAGTCCAGTCCAGTCTGACTTCAAGTTTACTTTTGTCGCGTGTGTCACCGGTTTTCCTGCAAATCTCACTTTCCTCAGCTTCGGCCCTGGCGGTTTTCAAGGTTTGGCCCAAGGCTTTTGGGGGTTTGAACAGACCTGTGAGATGCCCATCTGGGTGAATTGTATCAAGCTTGGGCAGAACAAGCCCACCCATGATGAAGGTCACTGACTTGGGGAATCCATATAGTTCGAACCAAATTGGGAATCGTAGCAACATTCTTATCCACGACCATGAGGAAGTTCGGATAAGCGGTACCTACTGTACAACCCCAGCCTGAAAAATGGACAAAGACTATGGAGCGCCATGCGCCTATCCGACTCGGTGGGTTCAACTTCAGGGGGACTCTTGGGGTTGGTTAAACAAGACGCCAAAGGGGAACTGGCCCTTTTTGGGGGTTCTTGTATGTTGAGACCAACCCGCTTCACCCTTTTTGGGGGCTTTCGAATGTGGAGACAAAGCCATCGTTGACTGTGTGTGTGTGTGTGTTTGCGTGTAAGCAACGGGAAACAGAACGTCAACTGGAGCTTTGGGTCCTAGACCTAGAGCAATGGAGTCCAGTCCAGTCTGACTTCTTGTTTTGGGAAGGTCACTACGGCTACGGCGGTGACTTCGGGCCCAGCAGCGGAAAGCAAGACCGGAACTTTGCGGTGGACGGGCGCCGCGGCAGAAAAATCGGTGGACGGGGCTCGCGGGCAAACTGGGCGAGGCTCGAAAATTCGAGGGACCTAAATGGCTTTGTAGATCAATAGGGAATTCTGACCTTGAGTGGTGGGACATGAATCCCCACCTAATTAATGTCCACCAAAGGGTCCTCCAAGCTTCACACCCAAGCGGCGGTTTGTCTCTTCATGTTCTAGAAGCAACTAGCTAACATAGAGGCATGAAAGCAAACACCATCTGAGTAACTGATTCGCAGTCTGGTTCGGGGAGGACATGGGGCTCCCGTGGGTCATATGGTCTTTATTGTGGATTGAACCATCACCTCTTGGGCCGGTTGGCATCAGGACCTGCAAGGAGTCTTGGGATGATCTTCCCATGCAAAGTCAAACATCTGTGATCTCCTTATGCGAAGTCAGTCATCTGTTTCCAGATCGAGTTTCACCAAGCTTTGCAAGGCTGCAACAAAGGCGAGCGGCATGGCTAGATTCGGGCGCGGGGACAGGAGGTCCTGTTGTCTTTCATTTAAATTTGTCCAATGCATCCTGCCTGTAGATTGCCTGGAGACATGACAGTTTAGGCCCGGAGGGTCCTTTCCACCAAACAACAAGCCTGTAAGAAGTTCAGGTGGTCAATATCCCTAACACATCAAAGTGTCACTTGGACGAGAAGTATGTGTTTATGATTCTGGAGAGCTTGAATCAACAAACAGTTGTAACAGGCACAAGGCGCACACAAAAAACTGACAGAACCAGTAGACTTTTCATTTGGGGAGAACTTCAAAAGCCCGCCCCAACTTTGGTGCGTGTTGCTTGGCTGTTAGGACTTCAACTCTTTGCCAACAAATGGGTTTTCCATCAAACCACTAAAAGTTCTTCACTTTTAGCAGGGGAGCGGATTTCGCCACCGAGCCAACCTTCTCACGAGAACAAAGAATCCGAGGATCCTCTTCCCAGACCGATCTCCGCACCCCGCCTACTTCGAGTTCAAGCGCCTGCAGCAGCCGGTCGCCTTTGGCCTCCGATCCACGACCTCCGCCGAGGCCACGGAGGCCCCGGGCGGGACGGCCCGGGCGTTTTGCCGCTGGGCCCGCTGGTTCCGGCTGAAGCTGGTCAAAGCCAGGGTTCCTTTGCAGCTCTCGACGACCTTGATGCGATTTTTGCCAGGTTTCAGGCGACTTTGTGCAGTAAGCATAGTAATCGTAAGCCTATCGGTATCACATGCGCTATTTATTTGCACGTGTGCGCTTGTGCGCTTGTGCGCTTGTGTGCGCTTCTGTGCGAGTGTGCATGTGTGTGTGTGTGTCTGTATGTATGCGGTCCACTTGCAAGTGCTTTGTTGGTTGGTGCCGTGGTTCAAACCAACAAACTTGGGACCGCTGAGCTCGGTACAGAGCCGCAAAAGGCAAAATCAGTCGTGTCTCTTCACTCGACAAGCCTGTGCCAATTGGCCGGGGCAGCTTGGTGATTGGTCGATTGCATCATGTGTTGCTCCTATTCCGTTTGGTGGTCCCGTTTAAACCGGGTGCTTTTCCGTGTTGCTCCTGCCGGTCTCCATCTTTTTGACTTGGCATACTGATTTGTGGAGAGCTGCGCATCACCGCCGCTAGCCAGCTGAGAGTTTCTAGATGAGCTGCTCTGTCATCTGCGCCGCTGGATCTTAGCTGTTCCAAGGTTGGCCCCTGGGAGAACTTTACCTGTGTATTGAAGGTGTAATGTTGACTCCACATCAATCAACCCCCAGAAATGGACCTGGGCTTGATCCGCTCCACAAAGCTGCCTGACTCACTGGACCGCTGCTTGCAATAGGATCAACCCCCCAACCTCCCTTTGCTGAAGCTCAAGACCTGAGTGAGCGAACTATCCTTATTTAGAATCAAGGGGCGAGGGGAAGTAGGGTAGCATGTAAAGTTGAGAAACAATTGAAACGCCCTGTGAAATTGCCAGGGGGGGGGGTCTTGCGATATGTTTAGAGAATCCCCTATGGCTGAAGGTCACGGTGAATGTGACGAACCGTTACGCCTTCAAAGACTTGGGGCACCTGACGTTACTGGCATTCCTTTCGGATGCCGCTGGCCGATCCCACCCCTGCGCCTTGGTAGCCACCCATGGTTGCCCACAGGGCTGGGTGTTTGGTCCTGGAATCAGTTGGTCCGCAATTCCTTTCATTCAGTATTGAGCATGAGGCTTCATGAAGTTGGACTCTTATGAATGATGTCAAGGTGATCACATCCTCCACAGCGCACGTTTTCTTGCTCCTTTTAGCTGTTATTTGCTGGCTGCCTTCTGGACGTATTGAGCATCACCCTCAGATGGTTACGAGAGGGTGAGCTTTCCCAAGGTCGGATTCCTTATGACATTTTGTAAATACATGATATGCCTAGATTACCGTGTTACAATTCCAACACTGTATACTGCTTGTTTGCGTTGTTTCCTTTGCCACGGGTGTTTGCAGAGGCTCTTGCGGCTGAGACATACATATATCTAAAATATATGTATATATATATATTATATATATATATATATGTGTTACATCAAGCATTGAACAATTCTGCGTGTGTTTGCACGGGCAAACTATCAATAAACCCGATTGCTTGTTCTGTTGGGACTTGGACAAGCTGCAAAGGCAAACAAAAGTGGCTTGGACCGGACCAGACGGTGTTGGGCTTCGCCACGTAAATCTCGGGGATGCAGCCAATGTGATTCAGGACGGTACAGCACGCAGGATATTCCCTTGGCTTGAAGGGCCCTTTCTCAGAATGCTTCCTTCTTGTGAGTCATGTGGACTGAGTTTACTTCCTCGGATGCAACCACTGGGCAGCTTTTTGTACGCCATTTCTTGGCTGGCTGGAATTTTGAGCGAGCGGCTCACTGCAAACCGGAATAAATCAACATGAGGGTCGCTCCATGTGCTTATGGAGTTCAGAAGTTCTTACCGCGATCGATCGTTTAAGGTATCATCATCAATAGGAACTTGATCTATGCAGTTGTTCATGTTAGATCTTGGCGGATGTTGGCAGGTTGCAGGGTGTCACACATTTGCCGCTCTTGACTCTTGAGGCACCTTCGAGCCGGCAACCCTGGCCGGCATTCCGGCGGGTCAGTCTCGGGAGTTCATTGTCAAGGCTTCCTTGCCGGACAGTGCCCTCCGCGCCTGCGGTTGCTGGCTCACCCTGCAAGCCGTGCAGCTGGGCAAGGGGCTCCATGAAACTGGACATTTCAATCGGTTTTCACAGTTGCTTCGGCCGTGTTCCTTCAAGCCACCAAGAGGGTAATTTTGAAGATGTCACTGTCAGTTTAATGAACTCAGTTGGAGCCAAAGCAAATTGTGGCTGCACCGGGAGGGTAATTCCAAAGGTTCATAAACTTTCCATCTGATTTCAGGCTTGTGTATGAGTCACCCAAATCACACGGCAACAAGTTTCCTTGTGAACGTGAACCGAGCATGGAAGCTCTGTGATATTGGTGCCCTGACATGTCCGCTGACCAAGCATTTCGTGACTGTACAATACTTTCAGGGTCATGTAGTTTAGCAACCGAGTCAAGATCCCCCCCCCATCTGGCATCCGAATTTCCCAGCTTCGAGGGCGCAGGTCCTTGACCTTATCACGTGAGCCACCTCAAAACCGATTCGGGTAGATGATCCGGTAAGGGACGATCCCAGCCATACATAGCGGCGGAATTCCGCCTTCTTAACTCTTGAAGCATGGTCCTGGCTCGACCATGTTGGCACCAGGTTTTTATTGCGACTCACGTGTTCTTCCCTATTTACAGGGCTTCGCGGGACACGCTCAGAGCTGTATGTGCGTGCTTGATGCGTGAATTGCGTGCGCGCCTGTCAGCTGGCCAAATTTTGATTGTTTGATTGGCTGTTTGCTTGTTTGTTTGTTTGTTTGTGTGTTTGTTTGTGTGTTTGTTTGTTTGTTTGTTTGTTTGTTTGTTTGTTTGTTTGTTTGTTTGTTTGTTTGTTTGTTTGTTTGTTTGTTTGTTTGTGTGTTTGTTTGTTTGTTTGTTTGTTTGTTTGTTTGTTTGTTTGTTTGTTTGTTTGTTTGTTTGTTTGTTTGTTTGTTTGTTGGTTTGTTGTTTGTTTGTCTGTCTGTCTGTCTGTCTGTCTGTCTGTTTGTTTGTTTGTTTGTTTGTTTGTTTGTTTGTTTGTTTGTTTGTTTGTTGGTTTGTTGTTTGTTTGTCTGTCTGTCTGTTTGTTTGTTTGTTTGTTTGTTTGTTTGTTTGTTTGTTTGTTTGTTTGTTGTTGTTGTCTTTGTTTTTTTGTTTGTTTGTTTGTTGTTGTTGTTTTTTTTTTTTTTTTTTATCTCTCTTTTTGCTTGTTTGTTTGCTGATTTGTTTGTTTGTTTGTGTGTGTGTGTATTTGTGCACTCGCTTGCTAGTATGCACGTGAGTTTGTGTTGTGTTGTTTGCTCGTTGTGTGCTTGTTGCTTGCATGTTTGTGCGCATACACATCTGTATGTTCGTGTGTGTGTGTGTCTGTGAGAATGCCAGAAAATCGGCCACTGTAAGCTCCAAAAGTCAGAGAGCAGATAGCTCCTTTTGGTTGGATGCCAGACTCAGATATCCAGCCAGTTTCCAGGCGTCGCAGCGATGTACGCCTGGCTCCTGAAAGCCTGTGGATCCGAGGCAGTCAGAAGAGCAGCAGATGATCCCTGCCAAATTTGTGGTGGCTGAGGAGAGGGATTGCCCTGTTCCTAATGATGGAAGCGCACATGTTCCCATGTAACTTGCTTGATACATGCAGGCCAGGCAGCAAGCGCCAATGTTTTCGGCTTCAAATCTGCTACATCCAGAGCGACTCGCATAGGGCTGGTTATGGTCGCAGTTCCTTGTCGATTGCTTTACAGGGTTGACCATTCCTCTCACTCAACCCAAATTGATGCCAACTCCAGATGAGTCACCCTGGCAGATTGACAGGTTGTTCTTCCCCAAAAGTGGAGGATTCGCTCTATTGGTCAGCAGGGTTGAGTGGTGCTCCGGAACGTGAGGAGTGCCTCACAGTTTGCCCGCCGCAGCCCCTCGCGAGCAGCGAGACTGTTGGGATTTGCCGCGGTTCAGTGGCACCGGTGGCCTCTCCGAGCCTGTCCGGCACGGCGGTGGTGGAACATGGGGATGTCACCCTGGTGAAGGCCCCAAACTACGTGGCGCGGCTCTTTGGTAGCAAGTGAGCGGGGAGGACAAATGGCTGTGGTTGTCAAAACCAATGGGATCCCATTTCGGGGTAGGTGAATTCACCACCCATTTTAGAACCTATTTGAGTGGGGATTGGGATGTTCACTGGGGGTACGGGCTTTTGACCCATGGCCAAATCTGCAGGACGTGTTGTTTTTGGTTGTTGGCGTTCCTTGTTGTGTGTCGTCCAGTGCCTGACACCTGATTTAAATGCATTCGGTTCTACTCGCGTCTTCATGCAGGGGCAGCATTTCTGTCTAACTCTTGCTTCTATTTGCTGGGCAAAGAGAGCGCCCTTTAGAGTAGAAACCCCCAACATCAGGGGACTATATCAAGGATCAGAGCCAAGAAAAAAGCGTCTCATCTAACATCAAATACGAAGGGACGTCCGAGCCTGCGTCCTATTGCCTAACCTGACTTGGGGACCCTTTCAGGTCTTCAATGACCATTTTAGAATCATGTTTGGAGCAGTTGCTCCTTTGGCCGCTGGCTGTTTTGGGGGTGGATGGACATGCGTAGCGTGGCTGGTGTTGACTTCAGGCCTTAGGCTGGATCTGGGTAGTTCTCATCGGGCCTTCCACTTGGGTCTTTGTTGTGGGGCCCGACAATTTGAGAATCATGTGGCATGCTGTGGATGAATGCAGCGCGCAACTTTGTGTCAAGCTGCGCAAGCGAAGGATGCCGTTGACGGTTTGCCGGCATTCTCCAGGGTCCTCTTGCATACCTTCAACTTTCAATCAGAACCTGGGCTGTTCATGGCGTTCCTTTCGTCCAGCGACGCGCTTGGCTCCCTTTGGAAGCAAAGTCGGGTCCCATCGCTGGATGGTATACGTGCGATCAGCTGTCTTTGGGTGTCCTTCTCCCATGCGTTCTTCATGTGGCAGACTTCAGCGATTTCAGTTCCCGGGACTACCGAGCTGTTCGTGACAATGTGGTGGCCGGTAGCTGTGCCCTTGAACGGAGACATGGGCGTGGATTTATTTCTCCTCCTGTCGGGCTACCTCATCGGCGGTTCGGCGTTCAATGAAATCAGGCATGCTGCATCCTTCGACATGGCACCCTTCTTAATTCGCCGGGTCTTCCGCATAGCCCCGGTGTTCTACATGACGGTTCTTCTTGCCTTTGTGACGCAGGGACTGGAGGCCTGCAGGATGGCAGGGTGGAAGCTACTCTTCATTGAGAACCTGACCGTGAACTTACAGGATGAAGGGCAATGCGCTCCCCAGTCTTGGAGCGTGGGCATCGAGATGCAGCTTTATTTAGTCACCCCACCCGTCATGATGCTCGCATTCCGCCTCAGCGAGCTGCGCAAGCAGTGCGACTTGGCGTGGATCCTTCTCGGCCTTTGCGGCATCACGTGGATCGCATGTTGTGCAGCTCGTAAGGCTGCCTTGCCTGCAGTGCTTGCCATGGATGGAAGCCTGTGGTACACAGGGACGCAGTATCGATGTGCGCCGTATGTCGTGGGCGTGGCAGTATCCGTGCTTGGCCAGGAAGGCACGGTTCGGGCAGCCAGCAAGCTGCATGGCATCTTGGCTCTCTTGTCTTGGGCCATTCTTGCAGCTTGCGCTTACTTTGGGGGCGGTGGGCCTTTGCTGGGCTTTGAGATCCCAATGGAGAGATGGCCCTTCAGCCCAGAAGCCGCAAGGATGCAGTTCGTGCTGGGACGTCCACTCGTAGGCGCCGCCGCGGGATACCTCCTCTGGCGGAATCTCAACGGCCTGGAGCTCTGCTTGAACAAAGTGCTCACAGCGCCCATCTGGCGGCCCCTGGCGCGCCTGAGCTACTCCGCCTACATGCTGCAGGTAGTGAACTTCGCAGTTGCAGCTTGGCTTCTGGCTCCACTGACGGATGCCACGAGCAGACCGGCCAAAGCCGTGGCGGCTCTCTCAACCCCGGCTTTGGTTTGTGTGTGCTATGCGTGGGCAGTGCTGTATACACTCTTTGCCTTCGCTTTGGCGCTGGTGAGCTACATCGCCGTGGAAGTTCCTGGCATGGCGTTGGGCCAGCGACTGACTTTGAAGCTCAGACCGAGGCCGATTCTCAAGCAGCCACTGGTGGCTTAGAATTGCAACAATGTCGAGGTTCTGCTGATGCAAAAAGTGAAGCTTCGGAGACTTTGGCTCTTCAAGGGTGAGCTGGTGTCTTCGCTCCATTTCCCTGCTAAAGATTGAAACTCAGAGGGTTCTTTGTTCCAAGATTCGGGACACTGGACGCTGGACAACTGGGTTCCCCATTTTCCTGCCCTTAGCAGGGGGCTCCCCATGCTATTTTTGCCGGGGAACAAGGAAAACCCGGTTGGATGTTGATTTACTGGCAATAGTCAGGGAATCCACCGCCTTTGTCCCCCCCCCATAGGTGGATGTCCTTTTAGTTCTCCTTCAAAACGCCCAAACCGGGGGGGCGCGGTTCTCTATTTTTTACAGCTGGGTGACAGTAGATGGCACCGTTCCCCCATTATCCGCAGAAAGGGAGTTGTGCCACTTTCAAGACATGCCCTCTCAAGGTTCAAGCAGGGCACCTTGGCAGCCCTGTCCGGACCTAGCGGCACCTTACTGGGAGAAGACCTGCGGCACTGCTTCTCGCGGGCGTCCACGGACAATGATCGGTGTGGCCTGGATTTCTTTGTGCCGCACGTGCTGAGGAGCAGTGCCATGCGTGTTCTGGTCGGGGAACAAAGCAACATGGGGCCCCTTTTTTGTACAAGTATCGGCTAAGGTGAACAATTTGAGGGGGCCCTTCTTCCCCTAGATGTCACCTTGTGCTGGTGGTCGTCCAAGTGTTTGGGTGTTGGGTGTGAATATTTGTTTGTCCCTCTTTTGGTAGTTTACATTTAAAACAAGTTGGGCTTACCAGACTGTTGCGACCTCAATCAGGTGGCGGAAAGCGAAATTCCCTTCCCCTGTTTGGTCGTGTTGAAACAAACAGGCCATGACAACTGTATTTAGATGGAAGCCTGTCCAGAAAGCAGCCGTAGCAACAGGGCCCATGATTTTGACAGGGATCATCAGGAGAAAGTGGAATTTGTTTCTTCCCTTAAACCACCCACTTGAGATCATCAAAGTCAGAGGCAGTGGAATTAGTGACATTAGTGTTTTCCCTTAAGCCACCCACCTGATAGCGTGACTTTTGGGTAAAAATCGTTGGGCTGGCCGGGCCAGCAAAGCATGCGATAGCTTGCGCCCCTCAAACCACTTCCCCTGCCTGGGCTGCAAACCTCAGACCCGGAAGCGGTTTGCACGGCGGCCGCAAAGCGCGAGGATCCCCATGGCCAACCGGATCTTGGACTGGAACCTTGGCGAAAATGGAAAGGGGAGTCGAGTCAGATGGAGCTCAAAGAAGCTTTAAGGCGCCCCTCTTCCATTAAGCATGCTCTTTATTCCCCAACAGCTCACAGCTTTGGGGTCTCAGCCCAGATCCGGGGTGGTCCGGGGCGGCCCTGAGGGAAGGTTCCACGAGGGTTCCACCAGGGTTCTATCAAGGTTCCACCAAGGTTCCACCAGGGTTCCACGACCTTCTGCGAGCGAGGGCTGCGGGGTGGTGCGAGCACTAAAAGCACCGCATGCTGTTGGGGATATCACCTGAGCCCTTTTGTTTAATTAAGGGAATCAATCACGACTGGAAAGATATTTTATTTTTTTCCAGGGGACTTAACCAAATGGAGGTTCTCCTTTGAGTTTATTTGAAGGAGAGTATGGCCACAGTTGATTGTAGCTGATCACTCAACCCTTTGGTCAATCTGGGTACTAAAACCCCAAAAAGTGGATCAACAGCTTAGTTAACAAGTGCCCTGATTCAGTAGTCTGCTGGATAAGTCCTATGTCGGGAAGCAATGAGCAGGCTCATCAACCACCTAATGATCAGGGTGGTTATCCCAAAAACAGGAACGCACGATGAATAACCCCCCGATTGATTCATTGGGGTGTGCCATGAAAGAGGGAATGCTTGCTTTTTTTTTTTGTTGTTGGGGGGGGACCGCTGCCTATGTTGCATCCGCAAGATTTATTTCCCTCGGGTCGACTTTTCTTTTCGAACATGTTGCGGAACGCTGGATGAGAGTCAAGTGTGCAGGTCGGGGCACTTGTCCTTGCAAGCTTCCTGGCTGCTGAACGGCCTTGAGACGCTTGAGCCCTCGCAGGAGGTGGAGTGGAGTAACTCAGCTTCCGGACCGAGACTTGGTCATACTGGCCGTGCTGTTGATTGTTGCTGCGCGGTTCATGTTTCTTTCTCCCTGGCTCGCCCGTTGCAGCGCATGTGTTCCTAATTTTCCGCTCGGTGAGGGATCCCGGTCCACCTTAGAGAAGCACAACGCCATGGCTCCGAAGAATCGCCAGATCGGGTGCGGTGTGAAATAACTCCAAGCCCGTGATATTGGCTGAAGGACCCGGCAGGTAGGCCGCCGGCTGCTGTAAACCTTCTCGAACAAGGCTATGAATTGCCTTGTCTAAGCGACTGCTGTCGGCCGTGCTGTTTGCAAATCGTGCGATACTTGGACATGTTGACCTTCCATGCTTCATGATTTGTTTGTATCTTAGGCTGGTGTTTCACTGTTCTGTTGGGAGTCGTTGCCGCTTACATGCTTGGTTTATTCTTAGCATGTTTGCATGACCCTCCTCCACCGGTGCATTTAAGAGAACTTGCCCGATGTGTGAATTGAGGGCATCCTTCAACACCCTGCGACCGTGTTTGCTGTCTGACCAATCCAAAGCAACATCATCAGCTTGGGTGACTCACAGTTCAACCCATGAGAACGTGCTTACATCATGTTCACTGCACAGCTGGCATCCTTTACTCCGCTTGGCAGGCCGGTCATTTTGTTCAGCGCCCAACGCCTTTGCAAACCGGACCTTGTGCCATCTCGCGAATCTCGCCCCATAGGATGTGATGGTCGTTCTCTTAAGTCCTCCATGTTCTTGGGCCCATAGGACATGTTGAAGGTTCCTCAAAAGATAGAGTCTTGGGTCCCGGTGGTTTCCCTTGGCACCACGCAGTTTTCTAGGGGTGGATTCCTCTTCGATTCTTTTCAACCATCGTTCTTTTCAATAACCAGCTATTTTTTCGGGGGGTTCCAGAGGTTTTCTAGAAAGAAGCATCGCTGGAAAGAGTGGAAATGGAAGGTACCCCTAGAGGTTTGACTGATTGGAGGATGTCCAGGGCTAAATCGGGCCCGGAGCGGATGTCACGTCGCAACGCTCAGGACGCTCCAGGTGAAGGAGGTCTTCCTCTGCCGGGGCCAGCCTTGTTTCGTGGTGCGGACTGAGTACGTTGTGGGCCCCGGGAAGCTGGAGGCGTGGAATAAAACGGGCTAGGCACGGGCGTGGTCGGCGAGGAGGCCATTTGGCCGTGGTGGTCTTTTGACCGTTTTTTCGGGATCCCAGTTTGGGGTTGGTAGGTGAATTCACGACCCATCTTAGGCTTTGTTTTAGTGGGGATCGAATCGGATGTTCACCGGGGATACGATTTGGATTTTGACCCGTGGCCATTTGACACCGATCCCTATGACGCTTCCATCACAATTGACATGGGTATGGGTCAAAATTAAACCACCAGGAAATGGACCGCAGGCTCACGTCCAGGGAACCCATTTATCGGGTTTTATTGTGGGTACCTATTTTTGACCCGGTCTTGGGCCAGAACTCTTGAGAGGTAAGGAAGGGTGGGAAGAGAAATGCAAACCAAGGGGTGGTTCTCAAAATTACCTTGGATTTCTGTGCAAACCACAAATTTGAGGGAGATGTTGAGTTTGACTTTGATGGACCCAGATCAAGGGAATACCCTTCAGAGTAATGACGTAGATTTGGGGGATGGCCCACTTTGGTGTCACAAGGAGTATAAGGTGTGTCTTACATTGGGGACCCCCCAAACCGATATGGCTATGGTTGAAAACAAATGGTGCCATTTTGGGATAGGTGCACCACCCATGTTCACTGGGGGTACGGGTTTTTGACCCATGGTTATGGTGTTTTTTAGTTTTACAAAACATCCTGAAACATGGCTTTCTTTTTGAACCCCCCCCCCCTCAAACAAATGAAACCATTGCTGGAGGTTTCGGTTCATGTGGTTCCCACTGGCGCCGCCTGCAACGTTGCCACGCTGCCGCGGGTGGGGCTTCAACTGAAGTTGCCCTCCGAGATGTCCAAGATGTCGTGGCTGGGGTACGGACCCCACGAAGCGCGGTAGCAGAGTTCTTGCTGGTTCTTGCTGGGGATTGAGGGAATGGGCCCTGAAAAAGCCATCCTCTATGTTTCCTGAGAAATCCGCTGGTTCCCTTCGAAGACCAGCAAGCCCCGTTTTCTCGATAGGGACGGGTCTCCCTAAGGAGACGTACCCGGACCGGAAAGCGGCGGACTGGAAGGTGCACTGCAGCCAGGTGGTGGCTTAGCTACGGGAGTTGGAGCCACGGGAGTTGGAGCGTTTGAGGGGCCCCTTGCAGTTGGTTTACAGGGAAACCGATATGGCCATGGGTTGCATAACCTATGGAGATCCCGTTTTGGGGTGGATGAACATCCATTTGCCACCTATGTTGATGTTCACCAGGGGTTTCCTGGGTTTTGACCCACAGCCCTGTTTTTGGGGTGCCTTCCCCATTCTTTTTCCAGGAATCCTTCTTTGTAGAAAACCTCCAGAAACCTGTATTTGAAAAGAACGATGGTTGAAACGAATGGGGAACCAAGAACTGGAGATATAGGAAACCAGCCAGGGGACCACTATTTGGAAGCCCCTGGTTTATTTGGGACATGTGCTAAGCTCAGGACGATTTGCACGTCCCGTACGTGGTACCCAGCGAGAACGGCGGCAGAGCAGACGTGCACTGGGCTGCCTTTACTGCGCCCTCGGGCGAGGGTCTACTGCTGCAGTACTCCTGCAACGATGAACCCGCGCCAGACTCCGTGCCACAGGACACTGTCGCAAGCCGCGATCGACACCTGAGCGGCCCAAACCCCTGAGCGTTTTAGGCGGTTCTACTACCTCGCTTATGGTGGTCATAGCAAGGCCTATGTAAACCTATATACATATCCACTTATGCTCACCTGGGACCGGGACCGTTTGTAGGTGCCACCGCTGAAGTTGTTTACACGATTTTGGGTACATGTAAGGTAGGAAGATATAATCAAGCCGCTGAGGAATAGCGCAGCATGGCTGGCATACGCGGAGCTCAATCATGTGTCGAAGTGGATAGCAGATGGCCCGTTTCCTTCTGGTGTTTCTTGGGTTCCCAAAGCATACCCTCAAGAGGCCGAGCATGGATGTTTACGCACTCACCCATTGATCTTCACCTCTAACAAGGATCGAATCAGCCCAGAAATGTTTTTTTCATGTTCTATCTACCCTTAAACACCGTTGTTTGGCTTCCCAACTAAACAGATCCTATTTGTTGTACGAACTTCGCGAAACAGGGTTCCCATTCCCAAAAGGTTGCTGACGTTCCACCAACATCTCAACCACGGTCATCCTCAAGACGGGCTCCAGAAAGTTCAAACACGGTCAAGCCATGGTGTAAGCAATTTGCATACCAAACCGCCATGTTTGAAAGTTCAATCATGGTAAGACCATGTGTTAAGCAATTTGCATATATATATATATACATATATATATATATACATATATATATACATATATACATATATATATATATGCCATGCTTACACGGCCAGTGCCTATTCACCATAAAATGCCGCTATGTCCCATGGACGGGAAAGCTGCACCCTCGCGAATTCGAATGTTCCAGGACCAGGAGCCCAGCAAGCGCCCGGCCGGCACCAGAGGTGCACAGCTCAGCGCATCGCGGTACACCATGGAGGAGCGATGGCATGGGTTTCTTTGGCGCATTTTGCCAACGGATGTTAGGACTTTCACTTTTTGTCAACTAATGGGTGTTCTAAAACTTGACTTTTAGCATCAACAAAATAACTGAACTTTGGGCATTAGTGGTTGTTCCATTAAACCACTAAAACTTAAACTTTTAGCAGGGGAGCAGGCAGCAAGCGAGGTATCTTCAGTTGCCCCTTTGGGCCGAGAGGTGTATCCTCCATGGGCATTTGTTCTTTTAGTTTCTCCAGATGTTTGGTCCATATGGTGTCCATGGGCGTTTAGAGTTGGAAAAGAAACAGGGAGGCCTTTTGTGATTTTTCTGTTTTTTTGTGTGTGTTTCCTCTTTTTTAGCCGGATGTTTCAGTTCCACAGTTTTGATCGAGGTCAGGAAGGTTGACCTTGATAGGTTACGGGGCGATTGAGATTCCCCGAGCCAACCAGGGGTAACCACCAAAGATGCCCCGAACGAAAAGGAGACCAACCACCTGGAGGGTTCCAATTGAGACACAATGAAAACACCCCAACCAGGAGGGTCCTCAACCAATTTGAGTATGTTGGGTTTTATGGGAAGAACATAGGGGAGGAAATTGAAAATAGCATATGAAATACTTAGACAACAATTGGCTTTAATTTGATTGATTCCCATGATAGAGGTAGACGGTGTTGAGCGTTTTGCGCGGCTCGCCGAGGGAAAAAGGAGCGAAAGCCTGCGACAAAGAATGATTGGGGTCAGGGTGCCGTGGTGTGCGGTCAGGAATTCTATTTTGTGCAGATCCGGGTTGTGGGATCAAGGGGTTTATCCAACCACTTCTGTGATACAAGGGAACCCCCTCTCCATATCGGGGGGTTAGTCAGAAGCGGATTCCATTTCCCACAGCCCTGGTGCAGCTGTGGGCTTGCCACTCTCCGTTGCCCTTACTGTGAAGTCATCGAAGGTCGTTGGGTGAAGGTTGGTGGATGTTCAAACCCATTTCTGGGCGGTGCCCAGCCGTCCCGTTAGGTTGTTAGTGTTTGTTTTTTCGGGTTTCGTGCGGGTTGCCATGTCACCCACAGGTTGAACTTGTCGCCGTGCGATTTGAGGACATATTTCTTTCAATCAAACTAATGCGATCATTTTCTGGTGTTAATGCCCGGGGGTTTATTCGATTTTGACGTAAAATTTGAAATTTCACTGGTGTTAATTCGATCGCCGGGCGATCTCGTCATCTCCTTCAACCCACGGCGAGGAGGTCGAGGCGGCCTCTCACCGCCACAAACTGCCGACAGCTACTGCGCGGCCAGTGCAGGTGCCTGTGCAGAAAAAGCCAGGGAGCAGGTTTGGTGGTAGGGAGTTTCTAGGGGTACCTTCCATTTCCATTCTTTCCAGGGATCCTTCTTTCTAGGTAACCTCCGGAAACCCAGAAGAATAATAATAATTTAAAAAAACGGCCGGTTTTGGACAGAAAAGAATGGGGAATCAACCCCTAGAGACTTGGTGACTTGATGTGATTTGGAAGGGACATCAAAAGGAGAGCCACCAGTTGGGATTCCCCATATGAACAAGCGGAGTGTCTTTTTGAGGGTTGTCAACAGGGATATCAAAAGGACCACCGTCTTTTGGGGTTTCCCATTTGGAGAAGGTACAAGGGGCCCAGCTTTCTTTCAGGTTTCAAGGAGAGCTTAACCACGCTAGCTCCAATGCAAGACATGCCCAAAAGAGTCTCAGCATATGAAATCCATCCCCAAATCAGCCAAGTCTTGTTTTTGTTTAGTAGATAAATTGGGGGCTCATGGTTCAAACGAGCAAGCCTCACCTTCTTGTCTGGCAGTGGAACGGTTAAAGGAGACTGTTTTTTTGGGGCAACTGGTGCCCACTGCTACCTTTGAGCACACGAGTTCAAGACCTTTCTGTTTTGAGTTTCATTTTTCCTGATGGAGTTGCCAGACCAAATGCAGCTTTGGCGAATTTCTGGCTGCCAAGTTATGCTTTGACAAAAGGCACATTGTCACTGCACATAGTACCCGTAAACAAAGTATGCACAGAGACAATATTATGGTTGCAGCAAATATCCACGGTTGTTTTGGTGTGCGGGTTTGCCATTGATATAGTGCTGATGTGCCAATGGCGGGATTCTGCAGTGCCCCATTTCATTTCAGGTTTCCTTTTGAGGTCTCTGTTTTTGTGTCTTTCTCTCCCTCTCTCTCCTTCCTTGTCCTCTCTCTCGCTTTCGCACTCTCTTGCTCTCTTACTCTCTGGCTCACTTTTCCTTTTGTTATTAGTTATTTCTGTATTTAATTGTTTTTTTCTTTATTTAATTGTTTTTTCTTTCTTGAATTATTTATTTCTTTCTTTCTTTCTTTCTTTCTTTCTTTCTTTCTTTCTTTCTTTCTTTCTTTCTCTCTCTCTCTCTCTCTCTCTGTTTGTGACTTTCTTTCTTTCTCTCTAGCTCGCTTGCGCCGACCTAGATCTCTTTTCCATGCTTTACCCAAGCGACAGCCTGTGCACCTATCCGCTGTTTCAGCCAACCATCGATTTCAGTGGCTTTCCATGCCGATGTGAATGCTTGGTTGACAGGTATTTGCCTTTGGCTGGTGCGAAATCATGATACCTTCACATGTTGCACGAAGCCAACGATGAGGCAAACAAGTTGAACATGCTTTCACACCCCACGCTTGGGGGTCTCCCAAACACACCCGGCCAAAATCCTTGGGGAAGACTAGCATAAACCAAAAAGGGAAGCTGTGTTCGATGGGTGGTAGGAGCGGTTTTATGATTGGCGTCTCGAAGTGAATAACTCCGATCACGTGAGCTTAGACGGTGGATGCCCAAAGTATTGCAAGTACCTAGAGTCTCCATGACCCTTAACAAAAATGCGTCCATGACCCCTTAGTTTTGGTTAATGGTCCCATTTTTTAAGGGTCATGGAGACTCCAGGTAGAGAACAAGGGACGCCCTGTAAATGTCGGAACATTTGGGTGTGGGTCAAATTAACCACCAGGAAATGGACCGAGGTTTTAGTCCATGTTTCAATTTACCAGGGCTGCATTCTGGGGTTACCCGATTTTTGACCCACACCCATGGTGTTGCAACGGGCCAGGGGCCTCCACCGGACAGGTGCACTTGGACACAGCTCACCTGGGTGTGGGCGGTGTGGGCGAGGGCGGGTCCAAGCTATGGGCCACGGCGACGCAGTTCTTCGTGTCGCCGCAGAAAGGGCCCTGGCGCTACCAAGTCGGCCTCCAACCCCTCACTGCGGAGAGCTGGCAAGGCCCTTAGGCAGGGACCTGGCAAAGAGCTCGCAGAGTTTGTATGGGTCCTTGGTGGCTCCCAGCCATCCGGTTCCTTAGCTTCTTAGCCTTTTAGTGTTTAGTGTTAGTTTCCACAAACCCACTATACGTTAAACTTTTAGCGGGGGATCTGAGGGCAGCCCAGGGTTTGTTGTTTTGGTTTACTGAGAACACAATCTTTTTAGGTTGACTAAATGAGAGCACAAAAGGAACACCGCCTTTTGGGGGCTCCCCCCGAGAACAATTGGTGTTGAAACATGCCAGGTGTTGACGGAATCGAGAACAATTGGTTTTGTACAGTGGTTGGATAGTCAGGGAACATGGTGGCCAGCTCTCTGGCAAGGCATGCAGGCCCTTTTTAACATGCCAGGGATCTGGGTACAAAGCGGGTCGAGGACAGCAACAGATTGTGTTCCTGTCCGCTGTGACCCTCCAGATCCCTGCGAGATATGTTAGGACCAGTCTTGACTTGCTTCCTGAGCTCCTGGAGATTCCAGTTTTCGGCAGACACGAGTCAGGTGGCAACAAATATATGTTTGTCGCCATAGGTAGTCCTTTTTGGTTGTTTTCCTAGAAAAATAGATGGCGATTCCTGGTTGACCTGGTGGTTTCATGATGTACCAGGGCCATCTATTTCCCCTACAAGGACACCTATGTGTGTGGCCCCCTGTTGCGCAACACAACTCAGGACGCAAGCACCGATTTTCTTAGTGTCAGCCCGGCTAGCTGCTCATTCGCGTCTGGCTGTGCCGTAATGAGACGAGAAAATGCGCCGTAACCTGAGCCACCGGTTTGCGGTTCGGCTTCAGTGGGACTCTGTTGCCCAGTGGGTTGCTTCCCTTTTTCAGCTTTTTTTTGGGGGAAGGGTTCCCCTTTAAACACACAACCAGCCAAAAAACCCATTGCCACTGGGCATTTGAGGGGATAATCCTACTTCAAACTTTCTAGCTGTAAAACCCATTGCCACTGGGCATCTGAGGGGATAATCCTACTTCAAACTTTCTAGCCGTGTTGGTAGAACCAACAAGTCAATGGAGTTTGGGGCGCTTACCTGTGGCCAATTGTTTCCCGAGACAACATGAGGACACATGAGAGGATCCACTGACACAAAGAATTGACCCAGCTGTTGTTTCCCTTCCGTTTGTTCACTGGCATTGGTTTTCCCCATTCGGTTCCCAGCAAGCTGTGTCCCTTGCACTCCGGCCGCAGCTACCGCACCAACCACCGGAGTCCTCAAATCCAGAGCCTTTCTGAAGACGATCCTTTCGGATGTGAAGCGTGCTGGTTCTCAAATGAGGGAATGCCCATAAACCATCCTCTGTGTTTCCTTTAAGGGAATCCCAAGGTCATTCCCAACACCCAGACTCGTCACTTAGGGTCAGTTCTTGGAGGGTGCCAGGAGCGTGGAGGAGTTGGCGGGGCCTGGCAGTAACCTCCTGCTGGCCTCGAAGGAGCGCCAAAAGAACTGAGTTCTGCTTGGAAGCTTAGGCCAGAGTATTAGACCCTCTGTTTTGGAGGGAAGCCAAAAGGAAAAGCACCAGATTTCAGGTTTTTTGTTCAACAAAAAACATGTTTGAGGTCACCCAACATGGATGCTGAAGCATGTGAGCCCTCAAGTTGCTGATAGCAAGAGGGCCGGTGTTCTCTTTGAGAGCAGAAGTTTTGATGGAGCCCCCCTGAAGGGAACCGTTGCGGGGGGTAGTCACTTGACCCTGATTCGGCGGCATCGGATCAACCAGATTCGCGTTTAATTGAAGACAAGGAGCTGTTGAACAACGTTGTTTGTGTTTGTTTACATCTGGAATCTTGTGCTTTCCCTTTTGGCTTCCCTGTAAAACCAAAAAGGTGACCTCAAACAAATGCGCACATCCACATCATGTGGAAACACCCATTTCTATAAGCACACAGTGTGCTGCCCGTTCCCATCCATCACCCAACTCTCCCTCTCTCTCTCCGTTGACCTGCCAAGGGGTCTGCAGAATTTTCTAAATCAGGTCCAAATTGAATTGAATTGATCTGAAGCTCAACTTCTTGGGTCGGATTTTTGTTCACCCCCGCGTTCCAAAACATTCTCGCCGGCCGGGCGGGCGAGGACATGGCGCCCCGGGTGGAGTACCTGGCGCAGCTCCAGGGCGCCCTAAAGCAGGCGGGGGCGCATTCCCCGCACTCGCGGGGCCTCGCGCCGCTCGCGACACGCTCGGCGCTCGGGTGCGGATGGTGTTCTTGGATCCCGTTTTTTAAAGGCCAAGACGCGAGGAGAAGGATGAAGTGTATGACATTTTCCATTCCAATCTCTTCACTCATCCAACACAACATGTGGTGAAGAGATGAAGGGAATGGGTTCCACATCCAACACAAAATGTGGTGAAGAGATTGAGGGAATTTGGATTTTGGGACTTGCGGTGGCGCTGGGACGGTCGCCTCGCGCTGATTTTTTGTTTGTCCGCGTGCGAGGCGTCACTGGAAGCGCGCCCCTGCCCCAGCGCCAGGGGAGGCATTGACAAAGTGAGTCCAAAGTCATCGATGTTTTATTTTGTGTTCCTTGATGATTTGTTTGTCTTAGTGCCAATCAGGCACGCAGGGGAGCATGCGTACAGCTCAATTCCGCAGCCACCGCATTGTAGCAATCTATATGCTTCTGAAGACTGATCCCCCATTGCCTTCACCCACAGTTCATTTCAGAATACGCCCCATATCCCAGACTTTGGTGCTTGAGTTGTCTGACAAGAAGGATCCCTGGAGAGATCTCGTAAGCACCTCGCACCTGAGTCGTGGGTATGTGTCCTTGGATTACTTGTGGACAGCTGTCCTATACTACCACGTCACAATGTGACAAGGCGTTGCGCTAGTGGTTGTCTGCCAAGATATACCAAGATGCTTGTTTTGAGGTCATTTTGCATAGGTGCAACAGTACTTACATCTGCATATCATGCAAAGCGTCATGGACTGTCATGTTTCCTTCCACCACTTCCTGTTGTCCTTGAGGAGTATCAGGAGTGCCTTTTCAAAAGGCATCCTGCCCTTTCCAAGTGTTCAACGGTCGCTCGCCTCACCCAGTGTCCAAGCATATGCTGGTTGCCGTGTCGCGATCGCAGCCAGGATCTTGCCATGAGGGTTCCATTCGTCAGGCTTCATGGTGATCGGTTTCTCCCGTTGGGATCGGAACCGGGTCTGAGTCTTGGAAACATCGCAAAACAACGAGGCCGAGCAGCTTGCCGTTGGGAGGAGCTCTTGAATCGATCTTTGCTGCTGGAAGATATCGAGGACGGAGTGCGCGCTGAAGGGTGGAATAGTCCATGTTTAGTTTCCGGAAACTCAAACCGGATAATTAAGTTTGCGTTTCAGTTGTTTCCCCCAATAATTGACAAGAGGATCATTCTGGAACGGCTAATTTCCTGATGGTTCAAGCAGAAAAGTAGTGAGTATTCTTGCATTTTTCACTTTCTGTGTAACTGCTGTCATGTGGTCAGTCCATTGGTCGCAAATTTGCTTTCGAAGCGATTCCTTAGTTGACCGGTATCAGGCAGCGCCTGCTAGGGGGGCCCTGGTTGCTTTGAGTATTTCCCAGTATTGAGTGGCTATGCGTCACGCCTGGGGACTGTTTTGGGTCCACGTTGAAGGGAAGCCAACATCAAGCAAACGAAAGCCTAGCGTGACATTCCCCCCATTGCCACATACCACCCTGAAAAGGTGGCAGATTGAAAGGCACACGTTATTTTTGTTCACATGTTTCTCCGATGTGATTGTTGCACAAAACGATCCAAGCATTGGCATATGCGAACGTGGTTGCAACAGCCCCCCCCGAGCCGAAAGGAGCAGCATGGAATCAATCAACGGAGAGCGCAGCTGGGAACAGCTGCACATGTGTTTGCGAATTTCGGATGCACCTCAAACGGCTGTGGGTCAAAACCAATGGTACCATTTTGGGGTAGGTGCACCACCCATTGTTTAGTCTATTTTAGTGGGGCTTGGGATGTTTACTGGGGGTACGGGCTTTTGACCCGTGGCCAAATCTGTAGCGACGCTATGGGATCATGCTGATGCAAAGCCATACAGCACGAGCATGGAAGATGTGCAGTGACGTGTGCTGATGCTGATTCACCCTTTTGGTTTTGTTTGAGACGCATGATCTTGACTGCTATTGGCTTGGATCTTTATATAGACTTAAACGTTTTGGGAAATCAAGTTGCGGTTTCCAATAACCACCAAAAAAGTCAAACTTTTTGCAGGGGGTCAACAGCAACCAAGTTATTTACCATGAACTAGTCACTTGAACGGCAGCTTCTTTTCCCGACGAGAGCGTCTTGGGCGGGTGGGTCAAAACCAATGGGATACCATTTTGGGGTAGGTGCACCACCCATTTTAGAACCTATTTTAGTGGGGCTTGGGATGTTCACTGGGGGTACGATTTGGGTTTTCACCCTTGGCAGCATCTCGCGCAGGAGAGCTTCTTTCCCTCCATGTTGGAGACCTCGACGTATTGGACGTGTGGACCTATGCGATGGCCCGGAAACCTGAATGCATTGGGCGCACCTCCGGGACTTTGGGAAGTGAATCTTCCTATGCGACATGCGAAGGAAGCGGCGTGCTTCAGTTTGGTGCAGTCATCCGTCATACCCTGTCCTCACCAGTGGATAGTGCAAAATGACCCTACACAATGTTGTACATGGCATATATGGGGGTCGCGTCCTCTTTCTTTCCAGGGATCCTTTCTTTGCCCGAGACCAGCCATATAAGACCCGGGAAAAATTGTGGACTGTGTTCTTGATTATGGCTTTGAGTTTCATTGAGATCACCCTCAAACCTGTACGGCGGACAAAGATCTTATGGAAATGATGGGAATGTGGAGCATCAATCCATGATCCTGACGCCAGAACGTGTTTTCCCTTGCAGTAGTGGTGTCCCACACTCGTTTTTGAAGGGCCCACGGGCTCGTCCACCGAAGGGTCCTAAGCTCACACACGCCAGCTATGCGAGCCTCGATTGGACCCGGTTGGCCTTCCTGGCCGCGTGAGGGTCAGGCAGATCGAACTTGGGCTTTGGTTTCCTTTGGCTTCCTTTGGCTTCCTTTGGAAAAACAACGAAAAAATGTGGAGATCCCCCCCCTTCCCCCCGAGAAGAAATCTAAATTTCGGCACAAAGTTGGTTTGCTGTCCGTGGTTTTCCCAGCCGAGTTGAGTTGTCCTGCCACTTTCCCCGTGTTCTGACACCATCCAGATTTCGGGCGAGCTTTCCTTCGGCTTTCCGCCCTGAGGTTTTGCCATCTGCCGATCTTTCGAACCATCTGGCACAAGCTGGTGGTGCTTTGGCTGTCAAGCTTTAGGCCGGAGCGTCTGTGGCTAGCGTTTGATGTTTGCGCTTGTGTTTGTTCCGCGCTGTTGTTTCAACACACGACTTCAACATCCGCATCAAAATGACAACATGGTGACCTCTTCTAGGAATACCTTTGAGGGCATGAGATGTCACCACCAACACGTAATGCCCCATGTCTTGACCTGACGTATTCAGGAACTCCTTGGCTGCACTCCTTTAGCTGCCCAGTTCGACTGGCAGCTTCCTCATTCGGGACCGGAGAAGCGACAGTCCATGGGCACGACAGTCCATGGGCAGTGCCAAGACTGGCACCATCTTTTTCACTGCAAGAGGTGTCACTGGTGTGATGAGTTCACTCTTTAGGCTGTTGATTTCCCCTTGGACTGTGTGAGAAACTGAAGCAAAGAAAAAAGATGAGATGAGAAGAGATGTGACTGCGCGGACTGCGGTATTTGTGCTCCAGCCTCACGATCTTCACATAACATCGCCTCACGTTCCTTCATGGCAATGGCGCTGCTTCAGTTCGGCTTGGTGCCGAACTCAGGGAACTGTCCTTTTTCATTTCGACACATAAGACATCCGAGCCACAGTTTGTACGAGCCGTCACGTCTTGTTTGGACGTGTTTGGAAGATGTGTGCAAACATGCCCCTGTGCGTGTGCAATATTAACATATACGTGCATGTATAAATATGTGTATTATGTTAAAAGAACAAAACTGTTTGCATCATGTGTGCATATATATATATATATATACATATACACACATATATATATATATATGTCTGCATATATATATATATACACATATGCACATATATATATATACCTTTGTTCTTGGGGAGCCTGCTAATGTGATGAGACAATACCCCCCGAAACATCTGTTGAAGCAAAAACATGTTTGTTGCATGTTGCAACTGCATGTGTTGTGTCTTGACTGCATTTTCAGCCTTTCTTGCAAGTCGGAGTTGGGACCTGTGAAGCCTTGAATGAAAAGCGTTGCTTTCAACTGCCTTCTTATTGCCTGCTAGGATGCACCTTTTTACCCTCATGTACCTGCTTCCACACAATGAACAATGGCAGGACTGCGATGGCCATGTTTGTGTTTTCTTTAACATATATATATATATGTATATATTAAAAACAATACACAAAAAAATGAAAAACACAACACATAATATATATTTATATATATATATATCATTATTATTAGCGTTTTATTTTCCGAGCGTCACGATGCGCTGCCCAAGTTTGTGCTCATTGCAGAACCACTTTCCACTGGTACTGCATCATCACCAGGCGAAATTGGACAATGGTCGGGCATAAACATCAACTCGAAGACTATATAGCCCCCCTTTGACCCCCTCCCATCTTACATAAAACGCACAAGCTCTTGACAACAGCTTTGGCTTCCACAGTCGCCATGGGTCCCTCGCTTAGGTGGCGGCCCTCTTTCTGAGAAGCCAGGCCACCTCTACAGACACTTGCACGGTGCCCGGCTCCTGCCCCTCCAGGAGTGTTCTCGGGACATGGCGTCGGCGTTCCAAGGGTTTCCCTTGAAGCCAAGGGTGCCATCAACGAAACACACCTGAGCCGCAATCAAAGCCGGGGTAGATGAAGGTTAGTAAGGGACAATCCCAGCCATAAATAGTTGCAGCCGCCTTTGTATTTCCTTACATGGTTCTGGGTCACGCATTTTAATACCGGGTTTTGATTGTGACTCACCTCGCGTGGGCCGTTTGCTTGGTTCCTTTTTCTTGGGTTCCGTGAAACAACTACTGTAAATAAACGAGTGCCTCCTTGTACCGCGGCCACTGGATTGAGAGCAAGAGAGAGGGAGCGAGTCCATCGTTGCCTGTCATGGGGCCAGTGGACTTGCGTAGAGCACGGTGGGGTCAGTCCCGCCGGGTCAACGGAGTGAGATAAGTTGCCATCAACTTGACGCGGCCTAGTTCTAAGCGTCTGCCTTTGACACTTCATGAGGCAGCCTCAATTCGTAGATTGTTGAAGCAACCGGAAAATTGATGTTGGCCAAGTTCGTCCATATCAGCGGGTCAACTTGAGCGTCACGCCTGGGGAGTTCCCAAATGCTTTCTCGAGGGGTTGTATGCCCTCCCTGAATGTTTGCATGTGGGGAACTCTATTTTGTATACCCTTCAGCACGTGATTGGATCATGGCAACCACCATAGGGTGAGTTTAACACGATTATTAAACATAGGGTTAATTTAACTAATATATAGGGTGAATTTGAACCAACATAGGGTGATTATCTGCCTATCGCTGTCCGTTCACCAGAGACTGCAGTACACACGTAGCTCCAGTTTGCCGTGCGGCTGATGCCGGGCTCCTGCCGTCTCTGAGTCTCTCGGCCACATGTCTCTGACGAGTCTCATGGGGGGTTAAGCACTTGGGGACGTCTTTTTCCAAGGTACCCTGCATTGTTTTGCAGGAAGCTAAAAGGACACCACCCATGTTTCGCTTTTCCATTTGGAGAGTGGCAGGACCAACGGCAACCTCATGATGCAAATGCAAACCAAGCGCCTCGCCTGCAATCGAGCAGTTTGATCCAGCCAGCGGTCGGACGTTGCGTGTTGGTGCATTTTTTTGGCAGATCCGCACGCCAGACAAATGCACGCGTCCTGTTCAGTCCTCTTCTGTTGAAACGCCCGTTTGATAAAGCTTGGATTACAAAGCAAGCGTGACAATTGCCAGTTTCCGGTGCTGGAAGCTTCTCTGAATCAAAAAGTTTGATTATATAATTATATACTCATTATTAGGAGGGCATTGACCACTGAGCTGGCGAATCCTTGATTTGTTCAATGAACAGTAGACACAGAAACTTGCTCTTTCTTGCCACGCACGTGTTTGGACGCTTGCAATGATCTTACGGCGCGTGTATATACAAAGTCATTGGCACATGTACTGCTGATTCATTTCGGGCTCAGGAATCGCGCCTTGAGTGGATACAATTCTGTGTGCAGGTCAGATGATCAAACGGTGTTTGTTGCACGAGACGGGTTTGGTGGAAACAATCCCTGGAAAGCACTAACCATATCTCGTTTTCATGGTGCTTATTAATCATGTCACAGCGCAGGCAGTGTGTTTGATGGCTTCTCAAGCAGCCAGCCAGTTCGTTTTTCGTTTGCCTGCGCTGCTTGACATGGGTCGATGTTCAGCCAGTTGTCATCACTGTAGACCACAAATGTCAGCGTCTGCAGCCTCGGGTGTTTAGCTCGCTAGACTGCACCGACAACCAATACCTCGCTGCTATGTTCATGCCAGCGAGTTGACGTCATCATGTCTAGGGACGTATGCAGTCTGAGCTAAATGTTGCCAGCCTACGTGGTCATATGCCCGCGCTTAGCGCGGGCTCGCAATGTCGCGCGGTCGCAGGTTCCGATAGCAACGGGGCAAGTTGAGGCATGCTTTGTTGATCCCTGTTTCCGGCGCGTTGCTTGCCACGAGGCTCTGTGAGAGGCGGTTGCTTCGTGTCGCGCTGCTGGGAATGGGACATTGCGCGTGAGGGGCCATCCTCGCGGAGGCTGCGTGCGTAGGGGAGCTTGCGAGGGATTTTTTTCGTGGATTTGTCGCGTGAAACGCTTCCATGGTGACGACATCAGGCGCAGACCGGGTTGCTGCTTGGGGCGTAACAAGTTTCGTTCACGCAGCCCCTTCCCCCTCAGGGATTGGCGCCCCTAACAATCAGAGATGCATTTGTTATGTTTCTTGGGTTGGTGTGGACCTGCTTAGATCTGGCTTCAGAATACGACTGGGATCGAACCTGGCAGGACATTCTGGTAGTTAAGAATTGGCTTAGCCAAATCTAGGTTAGCGTTGACGGAGCTGGGGCTGCGGGAACCAAATTTTAATTGGGTGACGATTCGGCTGCAACTTGGTGTTGCAGCAGCAACTTGGTTTACAAGCCGACTGTGAGAGATTGGCAAGGCAGCCTCAAAACCCAGCTTTTTTGCGTGGCAGCTGCTCCATGGATAGCCAGCTGACACATCTGTACCTAGAACAAGCGCATCACCGCGAGGTATCGTGCGCTTTGCCATCAACGCTCTACAAATGTCCTGTGCCGCGAAGGCAACGCGAAGCCAAAAGCCCAATGCCTCGACCCATGGGTGGAGGCTTTGTGCACTTCACGCAGAACGCACCCGTTGCTGCGTAAGAACCTGATGTCCACGTGGCTTCAAAAGCTTCCGATGCTTGCAGGGCAGTTGCAAAGGTCTCAACGAGCGGTTTCTCTTCCCGCAGCCTTTGTTTAGAGGATGATGTGTGCCTGGAAAACCTTTTGCGGCCCCATTTAAGGTTAGCGCCTTGACTTTACTTCCAGGAGCCCCAGCCAAGCTGACTGGACATACTGGACATGTTGCCAAGCTGTGGGGCGTGGCAACCTTGCAAAACTCGCCTCGAATTGCAAAGCTGTTCATGTCTTCAGAAGGTGAGCCACAATCAAAACCTGGGTAGATGAAGGTTAGTAAGGGACCATCCCAACGGCCGCCTTCTTTACATGGCTCTGGGTCGACCATTTTAATACCGGGTTGTGAGCAAGTGACTCAGGTGGGGGTTTGGTGTGCCCAGCTTGTGCCCAGGCCAGGGAAGGCTGCTGTTCAGTCAGAGGGCCTGGGGTCACAGTCACAAGTGCCAACGTGCCCTGCAACCCTCGACGCTCGGCATGCACAGCGCGCATTGGGGAAGCCACGGGCTTGGAAAGTGCTCCGCAGGTTGTGTTGAAGACTTCCTCTATTAGTTGGAGGTGCCACTTGATGTTCCTGTAGTTGAATGACGACCCGCACGCGTTTCTTGACTTGTGGAACAGCTTTTGGGATCATGTTCAGAACGAACCTTGGGCTGATCCTGCACGGATTTTCCACATGCTTGAGTTTGTTGCATTTGCCCTGCGCGCCAAATACCTTAGCGGAGCGCCGTTACGAGCACTTCAGAAATTCGTCAAGGGGCCAACAGTGTTGTTGCGGCTGCCGTAACGGTTGTTTTATATTGTGCATCATTAACAACTCCAGGACACTTGAATATCATGTTTTTTGGTAGACCCAAAAGCAGCAGTTGAAACAACATCTATTTCAACATAATATTTTCATCAATTAGCTGGCCAAAAGGCTAAAACCAACCCTGGGTTCGCTCTTTTATGAATAGCGATTCAATCGAATCGTTCCCCCCTAATGTTATCATCCAGGGTGATTTATCGGTGCTTCCAGACAGGCTTCCGTACGGATTTACAAACACGGCCGCTGCCAGGAAGGCGTCTCCTTCGGGAAGGCGGGCCGAGAGGCTGCGAGACCTTTGGGCAAAGCGTTGAAAACAGGGCGAGTTGTATTGAGAAAATGTGGCGAACGGAACTTTCACACCTTCGCGGTTTTCCAGTGCTGAAAGGCACTTTTCACATTTGTCATATCTGCTGCTGATAGACAGTCTTTACACTTCTCCTACTGTATCGTATTCATGCAGTAGATACTGGCGCGGAGCCGCCGATGCGCAGGATTTCGTGGCGACAGGATTCCGAAAACGCCCCTTAAAAGGGCCCCGCAGGTGCAGCAGAGCTGAGCGCTCCGCTTCCGGTTAGGCGTCAACCCATGGTTGCAATTGCCAGCTTGGTCAGTTGGAAGCGGACGGCCGCAGCTCGGTTTGCTGGCAGTCCTTTGACCATGTCACGGGTTGAGTTTCGGCTGAGAGTGAGGTTCAAAGCCCAAGCCAGGGGAGTCACTTGCTCCAAACCGATCGGTATAAAGATGGTAATCCCGGAATGTAAAGAATTACGAAGGCGGCTGCCATTTGTGGCTGGGATCATCCCTTACCAACCCTCATTTACCCGGGTTTTGATTGTGGCTCACGTGCTTTTGTCTAGGCATTTGGGATCCCTTTTTTTAAAAGGAGGCGATCTCCCTCGAAGGAGACGCTTGTGACTGCGCTAGCCGTGCAGGTCTCTACTTCTCAGATCGATGAGTGCTCTGGACTTGCCGCGAGCCGTGTCAACGCGGGACTCTATTGGGCCGCCTGGCTGCAGAAACATCCGTGGAGCGTAGATTTCACTGGGGGCACGTGGCAGCTGCGACTGCAGCAACTAGCGAGTGTAAATTGTACGGATACACTTCGGATGAGTTGAGAGAGCTGATCGTTTGCACATCCCCTCATGCTCTAAAGTCGACCTTTTTGTCGAGGCAACCAATAGGAGTCTTCTTTGTGCTTTGTGTTTTGCCATGCAAGCTGCAGTGTTTGAGCAGCTGTGCGAACTATTCGGGCCATGGGGTCGAATGTTTTTCTTTGTTTGAATCAGCAAAGGTATGTGTTCAAATACAAACACTACGCTGCAGAACAAGGCACTAGGTAAGCATCCTTTCAGATGCTTGTCGGACAAGCCTTATTTTGCTTACTGTTTAGGGACGCTACAGTGCAAACCAGGAAATATCATGATTCGCCAGAGGTGATCTGCTTTGAGAAGCGCACGCGGCACACTGTGGAGGAATGACAATGCTAGCGCAGACCTTCATGATGAGTTTCGCTGATAGGTTCCATCTACCCAAGCAGAGCAAGTCTAGAACAGTCTTGCTACATGTTGCTCCCTCGAAGTTCATCTAAAGCAAGTGCGGTGTGGTGGGGTGTGTTTCGTAAAGTACAATTTAGTTGCCTGATTGCTATGATGTAAACTAAGGAAAGTCTCCTGGATTGGACCCATATCCCTTTTGTACCGGGAGATTAGAATTTGCGCTAGAAAATAAGAAGAAGGGGCATGCCAGGGGAAGCAAATACCAAAAGACAAATCTTGCAAACCATGGTGAAGAACATCAGCGGACACAGGGCTACCTGAAAACGTGGGAGCCTCACATCTGAGCTTGCGATCTTATGCGTCCCAGCTATTGGCTGAGCTTTCGGCCAGCAACCAGCAACCCACATAGGAGCGACAGCTGGCCAACGCCTCAAATTAGCAAGTTGAGCGGGAATGATACAAGCCAACAAAACTTCTTCCAAAACAGATTTCCCCCAACCTGATATTCCTCGAAACAATGGTTCTTTGGGTTCCATGTCAACCTGCAAAAGAGCAAAGGGCAACGTATGCGACGACTCTGCCTTAGCATTGCAGAACTTACTACCCTCCCCCACAAAACAAAGCTTGTGCTCATGCTTATGCAACATACCTCACCAAACATGCTTACGACTCGACTTCGCGCGAAAACACGCATAAGTAGAAAGTTGCTCAATGTTTTCAAGCGGTAGAATTCGCAGAGCAATGGGCAAACTCCTCTCTCGTGACGTGTCATATGTTGTCATGTGCAGCAAAGTCAATCTTCATGCGGTTGGCGGTTGGTTTTGCAGGTCAACAACGACTCCGGTGCCGGCCCAGTTTTGCCACCTGCTGCAAGCCGAAGCACTTCGGAGTTTGCGTGGAATATTTCAACATGAATCCAGAATCCATAAACCTTATGCCAGATTGTGATGGTGCCCTTGTTGCAGTGGTGGTTCAGTACGGAGTACTGAATGCCTCCTTCGGAAGCGCCCAAGCCATGGAGAACCAGCAACAGTTCGAACTCTTAACGCTGTGATGGCCAAACCGTTGGAGGTCGAGAATGGGGGGGAAGCAGATCCGCATGTGTGTGCGTGTGTGTGTGTGTGTGTGTGTGTGTGTGTGTGTGTGTGTGTGTGTGTGTGTGTGTGTGTGTGTGTGTGTGTGTGTGTGTTTGTCTTTGCGCGTGTGCGTGTTTGTCTTTGCGCGTGTGCGTGTTGGCTCCTATACGGTTGCATGAAGCACATTATTGAATGCATCAGAATATGGGCGAGCATCACAAGAAGGGCAAGTATTGTGCTATTTGTTCGATGTCGCTACAGCGAATGGCGGACAAAGAAACTGTGATCGCAAGCCACGCAAGCCACGCAAGCTCAAGTGCTGTAGATGCGACATGCAAGGAACAAGGAAGGCGGCTCCGGAGCTTCCAGTTATGCAGGTCGAACCATGGCAGTGTGGCGATTCTTCAAACGGCGTGTCACAGCTGGGTTTTGGATTCGAGGGTGAAAGCTTGCGGAGCTGATTTCCAGCGGAGTCTGGCGATGGCGAAATCACCCTTTTCCCTTACACTGCAGCAGCAGTTGAAAAATTGAATGTCATAGTTTACACTTAAATTTAGAGAGCTAAGCAACATGCCTCACTTGGTAGTGACAGATGTGCAAAGACATATCATATGGATTATGACAGATATACATATATATATATGTATATATATATATATACATTGTTTTCTTACCTGCGCCCTTCCTGGCTTTTTGCGCAAGTTGCCGAGGTACGGCATCACCAAGACCGGGCAGCACATGGCGCGCCTCCAGATTCAAGATGCCGGCAGCAACGACTGGGAGGATATCGCGGTTGGACCAGGACGATGCATTTCCGATTGCTTGGTTCGATAGGCAGCGAATAATGGAATGACCCCAAGAAAAACCATCCCGCGGTGTTCTTTGAGGGAATCCGCTTCCGGTTCATTGCCAAACCTCTGGATCATTCCCTGGGTAAAGCGAGCTGACCATGCACGGACTTGGGGATCCACAGCATATTTTTGGAAGTCGGAATGCTGCTAGAAGTTGCCCCAAATTGTGGTCTTTGCAGCAGCAGCTTTTGCAGGAAATGGCTATTTTGCAGGTCGTCGAGTCGTCAAGCGCAACTCGTGACATAGTCCTGAAACATCCTGTTCATGTGTGTGCGGGACTTTGCTGAGACTGTGAGCTGATAAACGCAAGTACTTAAGTTGAGCCTGGTTCAAAGCACAGGAACAAAGATTGCCAGAAATTGTGTGCGGACCTATGGCTTGTGTCATGTCACGTCTCGATGTGACCCGAAAGCATGGACCAAGCTTCTCAAAGCAGCGAGTGGCAACTGCCATTGTGCTGCGATTTATTTCCATTGGCTGTCAAAGATTTGACCAGTGAATCTGTGCACTTTGCTAAAGCTTTTAAGTATGCCTTCATCTTTGAAAGACCGATGAGCCCCAAGAGAATATTCAGACAGGACCGGAGCCCGGCAAGTCTTACATCTACATCGCTGAAACTCGGCTGCGTGCAGTCTGCTCACTGTGATTGGATTCACCAGCTGTCAGTGGAATGGGATATATTATAGTTGTGCGATGTAGTGTGTCATCGGGACAAAGCCACCTCGAGTATTTGCTTGTCGCGGTCGGCACCAATCACGCAACCAATTATCAGCAACGCGCACACTGCTTTTCGGTGGCAAAGTAGGGAGCACGCGCCTGGAGATTTGCGTTGGAATTCACAAGGCCCCCTCACTCAGTGCGATTCTTTGGCATGTGGGCGTGCCGGACATGCGTAGATGGGATTTGCTCGCCAGTACCAATCTTTGTTCGGCTGTTACGGGGGAATCAGTTGATAGCTTGGGCTGTGCTTGCGGAGTCATCATTGATTGACGAGCGGGTCCATTGAGCTGTGGGTATTCATTTGATCTATGCCGTGTGTGTGTGTGTGCTTCGCGGGGGAATGACTCATGCTTGATGGGAGTGGTTTTGCTGTTTGCTTGTGTCATTGCTTAGATATACTGATGATTTGCGTTGCTAACCTGGCGTTGCTGCCCGACTGATTTCTTCTCATGCTTGAGCAGTACTATGACCCAGCAAGGTCAAATATGTTCGACAAACGAAGTAGCACACTGAGTTGCCAAGTGAATTGGAAGCCAACGGGACACCCGGCCAAAGGATATCGGCGACAACAACCGGTACCGCGGTACCGTGCAGCTCTACCGGGTGGAGGAGCCGGTGGTGCCTAATGGTCGGGACCGCAACGCTGACATCTGGCAACTTGGACTCGAGGGCATGTGAAAGAGCGCGCGTATTTCCTTGAAGTGTTTGTCACATGAATATATCATTATATCCCCACAATTCATATCCCTTAGATTGGTTCATAAAGCAAGAGGGAATCTGTCCACTTCATCTGACAAGTTCAGAAGGTATCCATGTACAAATCAAGCAGTCTCTACAAGGATCTCAACTGTGGGTGGCGAACGGCTTCCGCATTCACTGAGAACAACGGTGATCAATGGGATCAATCGCCTCGAAGTTGCGGTCAGATTCCTATCCTCGGTTCCCAGCCATCCCCTTAAGTTTTTTGGCTTTTCAGTGTTTAGTGGTTGGATTTCCATTTAACCTGCTAAAAGTTAGCCACTTTTCGCGGGGGATCTGAAAACGGGCAGCCCAGCATCTACTTTGTTGCTCGCCTGCCTGACTGGCCTCTTACTTCAAGCCCGCAGTGGCTCCGAGGGAGGCACAGCAGAAGTTGCTTCCGAGTCAGCGTCGAAGATAGGGGAAGCGGCAGCTTTGGTTGGTGCCTTCCGAAGGATGCCTTTGTGGCTTGGGAGGCGTCCAGATGTTCGAAACGGAGGTGTTCCCCATGGAGCGGGTTCCCACTTGACTGCACGTGATTTAATTAGTTTCTGCCGATCATTCTTGTCTCATGGGGGCAAACATTACCCTGAAAATGGCAAACATACGCGTCAGACCTCAAGTCCCTCGCGTCGATGGTTTCCCCGAGGATCAAGCCGGAGCGCTTCGATGTCACCTGGCCTCAGGGGAAGAAGTACGACTGCGAGGCCGATCCGGGTCCGAAGGGTCCGAGCGATGGGAGCCCGTGAATGGGAAAGATCTTTGTCGATCACCCGGAAACCAGAAAGGCATCTGGGTGTTTTCAGCGAGGTGCCCTTTTGCCAACTTGGGGGGAGGGTTCCCCTACTAAGATACACTACAGAAAAAGGGTACCCTTATTCTAACCTCTCTACTGGAGGACCTAGGCATGGATCGTTGTTGAGATGTTTGAACATTCAGACCTGAGTTGTAGTTGAACCTGAGGTCCAAACTGGCTTCAGATTGCACCGGGCAGACCAGTATTCAGTTCGTAGCTGCACACCGACCAGTCTTTCCTGCCTCTGGGATCTTGTGCTTTGACGATCGAGTATACGGAAGTAGCAGATATGTGTCGCCTAAGTCTCGACATGGGCAGCGGCAGCGCTCCGAAAACTTGCTCTTCCAGCCTCGAGAAATTGGAGAAAGGTTTCGGCAAACATGTTGCCGATGAATCCGATGAATGGTTGCTTCTCGAGAGCTGAACTAATTATATAAGCCAGGTGGTGAGGGCGAATGCAATTTCATGGATACGTTTGGTTGAACTGAATTCGTGACAATTTGGTCCTCATCGACATTGTCTTTGCCCGACACACTTGCAGTTAAAATCTATGTTGCGTTCAAAGCCGGATGTAAAGATGACACATCGCTCAGTTGTGATTCTCGATTGGGAACTCAACAATTTGTTATTCAACATTGCATGCTGTGTGCTTTCGAAACCACTAGTTCACATGCGCAGTCTGATTCAACATTGTCAGCCAGATATTAAGTTTGCCATGTGCTGATGTCAACCAACTAGCAACTAGAGTGTGCACCTGATATAACTCGCTTCTAATGCACACATGTGCACACGTCGGCTTGAGTACATAGTTCACTCAGCAGACGTGGATGTTGAACTAGCGAAATGGCCCTGAAACTATGAATTAGTTGTACGGTGTACAAATTTGTGCTTAAGTTGATAGCAGTTGGCCATTGTTCACATCATGCTGTCAGTCGAATAGCCAACCGCCTGCTTGTTGTGCACTGGTGCTTGTCCTTGGGACTTGAGTAACAGGCCAACACTCAACATGCTGAAGGTATACCTAGGACCTATAGGTCTTCCCTGGGCAGTTTTGGCAACAACAAGACCTCATTTTACCCAACAACGCTCAAGAACCAAAAAAGCGCTCAGTGGGAAAATAGTTCTGGTGTGTACGCCAACTGCCGCTCATTTTCCGCTGCTGTCCGCTCGTTACCTGCCGATGTCCACTCATTCTCCGGGAGAGAACTGGCCAAATCATGCCAAATCAAGGTTTCCGCTCATGTCATGTTCTTCCGCTCAACATCTGAAACGAGCAAAACAACTGCCCAGAGCCCCAAAAAAGGGACCAAATGGAAGACCCAATGCAAGATGTCAGCCTTAGACAACTCCGTCATTGAACAAAGCAGCACTTCCACCCGACACGTACATCCTCGAGACAGACAAAGTGAGGAAGCGAAAGCTCGAGCTCAGGCCATGTTTGTGGACCAGGGCAAGGGCGCAGAGCAGGCCGGCACAGTGGGCCGAGTCTACGTGATCACCAAGGCGGGGACCTGAGCGCTGTCGCTCTCGTCTTGAGATAGACGGCGCGTCTTCTTTTTGATCATCTTGCGAGTGGACCGCTGCGACTGGGCAAATTGCATGCCTTGCCTTGCTGGGTTTTGGGGGTTGGCTGAATATTCCCCACGAACCCTTCGTGGAAGACTTCGGCCATTGGGATTCGTCTAGTCGAGCTGGGCTTCCCCAAATTGTCATGGTTTTAGGACGGCAAGTTGGGCGGGAAGCACAGCAAGGCAGTACGTTTCGACAGGTTAGTTTATCCCGTGTGTCAGAGTTTTTGTTGGGAGAAACCTTTAATGGACTCCCGCACAATCCATGTAAACAATCATAATATAATGAGATTTATATATATGTAATTATATAGAAACCATCATTGGCCCCATCAGGGCAAATGCGGGTAAACATTGCCCGCGTTTCGGGTTTGGGCTTTGCTTTTGGGTTGGGGCTTGGGGCTTGTGGTGGGCGCGTGCCTTAGAGCCGCCAGGGCGACAACAGGAACGGAGACCCCCAGTGGCGCGGGGGCGACGTCTTCTACGCGGATCTGCCCAGGTGGGGCCAGCGCCTGGATTTCGTGGCGCCTCGGCGGATGTGGTGCCTGGAGCTGCCGGGGAAAAACTTTTCGAGCTCCAAATGAAGGGGGTTTTTGTTCGGTCTCCTTTGGTTGCCCGTTTGGTGTTTCTCTAGTTCCTTGTTTGCACTTTTTGCTTTCTCCTTGCTTTTGCGAGGTTTCTGCTCAAACCGGCCTCAAACAGGGTATCCACAAAAAGGACACGCCAAGTCGGCTTTGGTGTTGATTCCGGGCATGCAGGTGAATCGTTTGCATGCAATGCAAGCGCGATCAGATTTGATTTGACGCCATTTGTTTCTCGAAGCCTGAAGCTTGACGTTCAACGAACGCCTTCGGACTCTTCTGCTTCAAATGCTCCCGTGAGTGCAGGCTTTGGACCTCCATAAGGCCCGTTCTGAGGACCCAAGATGCTTAAGGCCATAGGCCTTGCATCATAAGTCTGCACGTTGAGTCCACAGGCTGTTTCATCCCCAAACAAGCTGTATAGGGATCACAAATTTTAGCATGCTGCAAACCAGTCTCGCTTTCCTTTTTTTTGCGGAGCTTATTTGGGAAAACCGTGGTGGGGAAGCAACACGCAAATGGGTGAGTCATATTTTTGAGGAGACCCACATGGCTTCGTTTTTCCGCTTGGTTTCCTTTAAAACCCACCAAAAGGGTACCCTGAAAAAAGAAGACACGCAAATCAAACTTTGGCCAAAGCTTTCTGTTTGCGTTTTCTTGCTAGATACATGGGTGTTGGTCAACAAATCGGGGTACCCCAAGGGGGCGGTTTTCACTGCTACATGGGTGTTGGTCACAATAGGGGGTACCCCAATGGGGTGGTTTTCACAAACCAAATGTATTGCTTTTGGCGTAGGAAGTGCCAGGGCAGCGCCCCGTGGGTTGCCCAGTCGATTCGAGGCCACGGGCGTGCGCTTGGACGTGGTCCTCGCCACCGGCGCGGACATCGCCCCTTCCGGGAACCTCATCGCCGTGAGGCCCGGCTTTCGCACGGTACCAGATTCTTGCCGCGGGGGGAACAGGGGCTGGGAAACCTAATGGGAACCCCGGATCAATAAACCCCTAGTTGATTAACAGGGGGGTGTCCCCTTTTAGTGGGAATTCATCAGTTTTGGAGGGAAACTGCTAGTAATGGGACGGGTTTGTTAATTTTGGGTCAACACTATGGGAAGCCCGGATGAAGGCCCTGGTTGATTTTGGTGGGGCCGTTTAGTGGGGTTCATCGCTTGAGGGGAACCCGCCCCAAATGAGGCGCTGTTGATAGCACGGGTTTATAAATCCGGGGTCAACACTACACGAAATTCTACAGGACTTGTTATTGTTGTTGGTGGGTGCAAAACATCCTGCTTGACATTGGGGAAAACTTTTGAACCTCCACATTGGGGCAACATGTGGATCGCGTCGGAAACATAAATCCTTGTTCTAAGCCGCACTGGATGGTCGGGACCCGTTTAGCGGTTCAGAACCAATTGAATTCAGTTGGCTCACAAAGACAGATCTATCCCGCAGTCCGCTGTTGGCTTGGACTATGGGTTGCTGCCTTTGGAAACTCAATCTGTTCTTTATTGTTTGAAGCGTTGCTGTTCGGTTCAATGCAAGCTCAATCGGATCACTGAACCTCTGGCTTGTTTTGTGGGGCAGCACAGGGTGGAGACTGGTGGGCAATTGTTTACTTGGTCGACAAAGAAGTGGCGCTACAGATGTACATCAATAATTACCAGGTTACCACTTGCATGTACATATAAGTATGTTTACTACATGAGTGCTCACATGCCCACCACATCAGCGGAACATATCGACACACATCGACACAATCTGGCACACCTAGTGTGTCTATCAACGCACTGCACCAGGTTGTTCGAAATCGGACGTGGACATCCCTAATCCCAACCCGTAGTGGGACGCCACTACAACAAGGGAAACCACCACCATTTGGCTTAAAGACTCGCCATTGATTTTGAGCAAGAGCGCTAGATAGTTCGAGCTGAAGGCAGGCATCTTTGTCTCCTTGTCAAATGCTCCGGCTACATCCTCGCTCGCCCATCCGATCAGCCATCCGAGACGACGGGCACATGGACTTTTTCCAGGGGATTGCCTCTACTGAATGCCTCAGAGCAAAGTGGATGAACATGCCTGGACCTTCCGACCATGTAAAATTAACGCCGGTTCCCAAAACAGCAAGAATGTTCGCACATGTTGGAAGAGCCAGGTATACAAAGGATCGGCGGTTTGACGCTAAAGAAACACGATCAACGGCAGATAGAGGCACTTAGCCCACGTTGCTGCGGAAGAACGTGGTATGTTCGTTTATAGGTACCAGGCACGACCTGTGAAGCGGATTTTATTGGATGCATTGGATGCATTGGATGCATTCGGTACATGAGGATCGGCCCCTTTTCAAGTTCTTTCTAAACTGTGACGCCTCTGGTAATGCTTTGTTTGGCATTGGGATGCGCTGAACGCAGGACCTATGGAGAGATCCGGATGTGGCCACGTCCCTGCGAATGGTCAGTTCATGCATCCTGGCTTGCTTATATAGAGTCTTATTATGAGCATGCTAATTTGAGGCCCACGTTTGTGTCAGCTTTCTAGCAAAGCGACGTTGCCCACATCTTAACTTTAGTGTTGGGGTGCTAGGCAGCGATCAGCGCACATTGGGGACCCACCAGCCACGTGATCCAAGTTCCAAGTGTGCATGAGTAGCCCTGCGACTTGGGTCCAGCAAGCTGCTTGTGTCAATATGTTTACAAGAGAGACCTTGACTTTAGCCATTCAAAAGGATTTCGAAGCGCTCTCGCGGATTCGGGGGGAAATTGCCGACGTCCTGAGTCGCTCTGTTGGACATCTTTGTAAGATGATCATGCGTTGCTTGAGAACATAGTGGTATGACTGAAGACGGGATGCACAAACAAACACCATTTTGCTAGATCATGTTCCGACGGCCATGTGGGGTTGTGTGAGTGGGGGTAACATAACTTTAGTTTTGGGCAGGTCCTTCCCTGCAAAACGATAAGGAGCAAAACAAAAGCAAGAAGCCCCAAATGGGTTGAAGAGGTCATAAGTCTTTTGAACAAAAACAACTCCACGTGTCCATTTCATGCACTAGGGGTTTACATTGATAGGGTCACGTATTGCAGCCTTGGAGGATTCCCACGGTTTCCCAAGGAGGCGCTTCGCAAGTCGCCCTGCGGCGTGCAGAGCAAGAACGAGCGCCAGGGTGAGGCTATTGCCTTCGGCAAGGAGTGGAAGGGCATAAGTAAGACCGCCGGACATTTGCAACACGCTTGTCTTTGGTGCATTTTGCTTGCATGTTAGGACTTTATCTTTTTGCCAACTAATGGGTTTTCCGAATAAAGCCACTAAAAGTTAAACTTTTAGCAGGGGAGCAGAAAGCAACCGAGTTGCGTGGGGAGAATCGACAGCCACGCCCATTGCAGAGCTGGCAAGATGGACTTACATTTGATCATGGAGTTGATGTCTGGAGCACCTGAGATGTTGTTTTTTCTCTTTCTCAATGTCCGGAAAAGCGTTTATGCAGAAAACCATTTGGAGGCCCCATTGTGCCCAGAAATCAGGAACCAGGCACTACCGTTTAGAATATTTGATTGTTGGCTTAAGCAAGTTGAAGACAAGCAGTACATGTGCGTCATTTTCCGTTTGTTTGCTGAGTCTCTCTTGCGGAGTCAATTGCAAAGCTTACTTTGTAAATTTGTGTCCTACGTCTTTAGGCCTGATAGGATATATCAGGCAAGAAGGGTTTGCCAACATCACACAATTGTACAACAGAAGTGAAGTGAAGATGTGGCCCAGTCACCGCCTAGTCTATCAATGTGCAATTGATGTGGGTGTTTCCTCAATGGGACACCACTACAAGAGAACCTACTACCATCAAGGATTGTTGGGCTCAATTATGGTTGTTGTTGGGAAACATTTTACATTTTGCTTGTTGTGGTTTAGGGGGAAGTCCCCACTTAACTGCTAAAGGTTTTTTTTTTGCTCCCCTTCCAACAGCAACCAAGTAATGTGGAGCAACCCAACATGAACCCGCCACGGGGGGGTTCTTGAGGAAATGGCTTGAGCTTCCATGTCGCAGGACGGCGAGAATTACCTCACGGTGAGCGAAGGCTGCTCGAACGTGGTCTCAGACCATTGATTGGCTTGCGGGGTGCGTAGATGCCAAATTGAATCATAGGGGTAAAGTACTGGTATTCATGTCGCCCCTTGAGATACTCATGCACTAGCATGGAACCTGACTGAAAGGACCCTCTGGTAAGTTCTATGTTAGTGGACAAGAGGCCAGTTGCCTTTCCCTGCCATGTTTTCAATTTGTGGTCCGCAAACGCATAGCACATATCATCACAAATGCAGCACAATCAAGTTCAAGGTGTTGACAAGAACGATACACGAAGCTGCACGGACATGCGCGTCAAGCATTGACAGCCGTGCCTTGCCACGACACCGAGGCAGGTACCCAGAAGTGTGGTACTTCGGCATGACGCAGAGATGCTCGGCTTGATAGCACGCATATCTGGATGTCACGCCAGCGATGGGCACCATCAACGCCTCCCCTTGCATGCCAGCTTTGCGTTGTGTGATTTTTGCACTCACAGCCTGCTTTCTTTTGCGTGAGGGCTTTAGTACATCAACTCGGAATGAAGTTTAATTCGGACTCTTTGTTGATATCATTTATGTGTGTTGGTCCACCAATCATTTTCAGGGTGTTCCTAGTCAAACAACGCTGCCAACTATGCCTGTGCGGGGCCGTAGCTCTGACGAATCTTCAGGTTAATATTGAACTTGAGTGTGAAGATTGACAGCTCAACGGATTGGGCACGAGGAGTGCAGTATTGGTGACCTGAACTGCTCGCTTCAAACTGAGAAGCCTTTGCCGAAATACTTGGTCTAATTGTATAGGTACTCGAAAGGCTTTGGCGCCTGCCTTGGACCTAGCATTCATGTTGACCATAAACACGATCAGTTCGATTCTGCGATGAAGAGTAAACAGAAACTCACAGCACACAGGACTACTTGGAAGGTTATTCGGGGAACAAATCCGACCCTGCAACGAATAAAAACAATACATGCTACAGTGGAGGGGCTGACGCGAGACACGGCGGGCTTTGCCAGTCATTCACGCACCATTATATATATATATAACGTTGCCCTGAAATCTACGCAGGCTGGAGCTTTGCGCCAACCACATATTTTCTTACATTCAAGGCACAACTTCTGCGAGTTGTCTAGTACGTTCTCATGCGATAAGACGTTACCAGGTCTACCTCACGTGTCGCCAAGATGAAACACGGGTTTGGGCCACTCCTCGCGGATCCGCGGTGCAAGAGCAGTTCACTTGCCCCCCGGTTGACATGGGGAAACAACACAGCGGAATAGCTTATGGTTGGAGATGAATCCTTTGAATTCGTGAGCTTGCAATGGGCCAAAGCTTCTGGTCTTTGCATCCAGACTCAAGACCAGTATGACCTCTTTGATTTGTGTTGAAGTTCATGCTCTGCGAGTCCGATGTCGAACTTGACCGCGGCCTGCATTTCCCTTATATATGATGCGTGTTGTTTGTTTGGCAGAGAGGTAATGAGAGGAGAGGACATACTGGACGTGCTAGAAATACCACATAGTTGTAATCCCCCCCAGTAGAATAAAATGGGAGGAGATTGTGGTCATGAGAGGTCGAGTCTGATCCAGCAATCGCCCAGGATTCAAGGCGGAGATGATGCACAAGGCCGAAGCCTTGATGCAGCAGAACACCACGATCTCGCATTGATGGCGTGAACCGGCTGCAAGCGTTGCAAGACTGAAGTTGAAGCGCTGACATTGGCTTCATGTTTTGCTTTCTTGACTGCTATTGGCTTGAATCTTTAGACTTTAACTTTTTGGGAAACCAAGAAGTGTTTTCCACTAAACCCCCAACAAGTTAAACTTTTTGCAGGGGGTCAACAGCAACCAAGCTTTGAATAAGATGCGCGGGCGAACTTCGGAGAGGGCATGACAGTGCTGAGCCGAGCTTGTAGCAATCCCATGTTCATGAATTGCGTGTTTGAATTGGGTGGTTGACAAATAGCGTACTTAGCGCCTTGATCTTCCATAAACCTTGCCTTGGTTTTGGTCAAGACTTTAGCTCCCGATTCAAGTTGGGTCTTCAACGACATGGTTTAATTCTCGGAATCGACATGGACGCCCGTGTCAACGCCCGGAAGTCCGTCTCACTATGACACGACAAGACTGCCTATTGGATTGGGGGACCCATGCGAGTTCAAGCAGGTGCCATTTCAGAGGGATCCTCGCTGTTTGGGCCCCGAAATAGAAAAAGGGCTCAAAGGGAGATTTGAGTTCATTTGGGGCTTTCGGGCCTCGAAAGCGCGAAACAAGACATAAATCGAGATTTGAGTCCCATATCAAGCATCAATGTAGTTGTCACACGTTGTCACCTGTGATTCGGGTGTTGCTGTGCCCATTCTGTATATCATATCTATAAATGCAAATACGCATCGATTGGTCAAGGAATCGCTGGGAAGTCCCAGGGACTGAAGCAAAACTTGTCTCTGATTTTCAGAATTCAGCAGGAACATCAACTGCAACAACTTGCTATTGCAAACTGTTGGGTGGGAGATTGGGGACAATCCGTGTCAGTGAGTGAATGCCAGTGTGTTTTCTTGCAACATGCCAAATGCCAATGCGCAGTTTACACTCTAGTTCAGTTGAGTTTGCGAGCTTCTAGCTAGGAAAGGCTGTTCTTTGCTGGCTGCTCTTTTTGCTGTCATGCTCGAGATTGGGACAATCCATGACAGTCAGTTGATGCAAGTGTGTTTTCTTGAAAAAATGCCAAATGCTAATGCACATGTTACACTCTAGCTTGGTTGAGTTTGCAGGTGTCTTGCTAGGAAAGGCTGTTCTTTGCTGTATTTGTCAATTTGTTGTGACCAGTCTGAGTTGGCAGTTGCCATCAGACGTGCCTTGATTTGACCGCTACATACGAACAACCTGCTAATGTAGTGTGCGCTGGTTGATTGTCTACCTCAGGCTCTCACGCGGCTTGTGACCGTAGGCTGAATTCAATTGCATCATAGGAAGTCAGATAGCTTTTGCATGTGCTGCACGGTACAACCCTGCACTTTGGCTGCGATTGCGGTGTGTTGCAAGGACGCAGCATGTTCGAATGCTTCGGGCGATGCTGGTCAGCTCATGAATGTAAGAGCTAGCTCTTGCCGTCATTTGAAATGAGTGCTGAATTTACTGGCCTTGAACGTTGCCATGTTGGGTCTGTCATGGTTGTTCTTGTAAATCCAGCTGCGAATGACGTGACATGGCTCCTCATTTACAGTTTGAATTTCCCCCCCCCATCGCAGCCATGCACTTTTGACAGGTTGAGAAGTGGCACGTGACAGCCCTAGTTTTGACCTGATCACGGAACTTAGTTTTACCCATACTTACCCACAACATATGGCCTGCCATCCACTTCCGATTCATGGATAGTGCGTAACAGAAAATGCTCGTACTGTACTGTATTGGTTTTCATTGTCCATGAGATACGTGACCGAAGCTTCTTTAAGTCGCGAGCCATCTTGAGTCTCCCGGCTTCGCGCTGCTTTTGTTTTGCACGCCCGGAGCTCCGATGCTCGTAGTGCCCAGCCTTGGCAATGACCCGGGGCAGGGCTACAGGTCGTTACTTTGCGCTCGCGAGAAACCGAGCGCAAGGTGAGAACCGCGGTTCTTTTCGGCGCCAACTCGGCCGAAGGAGTTTTTGTTCGATCCAAGTCCTTGTGTGCCAGGAAGGGAGCTTTGAGCGGTTTGGGGTTTGGGGTGAGGAGGATTGATGGGACAGAAGATATCTGCAAGCGGCTGCAAGCCTGCGGCATCGCCGAGGAGTTCTAATATCTTGAGTGGCTCAGATGCAATATTGAAGCTGCAACGTGTTACACTGTGCGAAGAGACATGTAAACTCACACACGAAAAAAAAACACATGTGAGTTGACTCATGGTCTGTACACAAATGCTTGCATCATGCGTAACAAAAATGTGACATGAGTGAGTCATGACCAAGTAAAAGCAAACTGGCCTGCCATGTCATTTGTCAAACCATGCGATGAACATCGCCAGCGGCCGGCTTGCTTTGGCGCCTTTCTTTTCGCCTCCACATGTAGGTTCCTTGGCACAGGGATCCTGCCTTCACGTCTTGATTGCGTGTGACGTGCAAACGGGTACTTGCGTAGTCGCTTGTCTTTCCCTGAAGGCATTTAAAAAGGATCCCCGTGACAGCAGCTGTTTGGCTGAGCAGGGAACTTGTCGTTGGCAAGGCTCAATCCTGCGAAGAATTTACAGGCACGAAAGAATCCGTTCTGTCAACTTATGCGTGGCGCTTCAGAATCATGTTCTTGTGCACTGGATGAAGGTCTGAATGAGCCCTTGACACGTCTTGACTGAGTAAACAGTGTTTCCTTTGCTTGGGGTAGGATCTTGAACTCAACCCCGATGTGGTCAATAGCACGGGCTTTGTTCCACTTGGCATGTGTTCCAAGCAGCCGAACGAATGAGAGACGTGTGCCGAGTGGAACACTGTTGTGTCTTTGGTGTCTTTGGAAGCGCTCCGATTTGCTTGCCTTTCATATTCTGGTGATCGTGTATCACATCAGATGTATCTATGCCACACGCTCAACAGATTGCCACCAAGCAAACTAAGCAAATTTGGGCTTATGAAGCTGATTCATATTATGCTTCTTGGTGGTACCAAATTGGGATTGCACAGGTTGCGGTCAGATGTGGTGTGACTTTTGGATATCCAGGCCACTTACAGTTCCTGTTTGTAACACCCTGGCGAGCCTTGCCACACTTCGGTGGCTCGACGCTTTATCATGACTGAACTGGTCTGTGAAGCGTCGGCAAAAAGACTGCAGCTGAGCGAGCGCCATGCGCACCATGCGGTGGGGGGCGGGGGATGAGGGTGCTGGTCGGACTGGCTTGCCTTGCCGCCAACCAAATGTCACGGAGCCAAGTGAAGCTGCATCCTGCTGCTGAATAACATTTGTGACTCTGTTCAATCAGAGAGTTCGTTCATGAGTAATACAGTTTTCCATGGCCATATAACTTTCAAGCAGATGTGGCCAATGTGTCTGGTCTTCATATCACGCTCTGAATGTTTCGCTTTCCTTGAGAGGACCTAAGGGCTAAATTGGTAACATGCACCTGGCAATCACTTTTGCGCATGAACTTTAGCAAGGCCACTTGGACAGGCGGCTGTACCATTTGTTTTTTTAACCAAGCTGAGACGCGTCAACTTAATGTCTCAGGTGCAATCCAAGACGGAAGCCCGGACCAAGCAGTTTTTTCAAGATGGTGGTGTTCCTTTCTTGGCGCGTCTCCGCCCGGTGGTTTTTGGAGGGAGATCAGGTTGCAGTGGCCCAACCTGATGGAGGAGGTTTAAAGATCCATTGTTATGCACGGGTTTGATCAGCCCACTTTGTTTTTTTGTTGGCTGCGGGTCACAACCAATGGGATCCCATTTTGGGGTAGGTGAACTACCCATTTTAGTCTATTTTAGTGGGGCTTGGGATTTTCACTGGGGGTACGGGGTTTTGACCCCATGGCCTGTTGGGTTTAGAGCCTTGCGTGGCTTTGAACCTTCGCACCTTGCGTTCTGCAAGGCACGAAAAGGGGACATCTGTTGCTTTTGCCAACCGTATCGCCCGCATTTGAATTGTCCTTCACGCTGTACGCCATGACATTTGAATGGAAGCCCCATCAAACATGGTTGGCAGACATACAAGCCCATGCGAATAATGGCCTCCAAAGGGTTCCCAGTTGAAAGTCATACCCAGTTGACTGTTCACTGGCGAGTTGCAGGAAGCTTAGTCTCTTGCGGTCTGACAAGTAACGCAAACTGCTGGCTTGATGTGGCGCTATGTTTCCTGTGTCAGTTTAGATTGCCATGGGCTCAGCCCTTTTGAGGAGCCGTATCCTGACTCGCAGAATTGTCTCTGTAGTCGCAAAGCATCCAGACCTCGCTGAGAATTGGCTTGCGAGGCTTCTCCTAGATCTTTCTTGCTGAATAATTTGAGAGCTGGATTGCGCATAGTTATTTTTTGAGTGCAGCCAACCGAACTTTTAAGTTGCTGTATTGCTGTTGCAAAGGGATACTTACCAGCAGCCGTCAATGGAGAAGAAGATGCGTAAGCGAGTATTCTTTGGGCAGTCTTTTCGTATTGATGTTTCGGCAGGTAAACACGTAGGGTGTCCGTGGAAGTGTTCTGTCCAGCTAGTACCCTCAAGAATGATTCGGCGGACACAACTCTCCTTGTAAACGCCAGCCACCCAGGGGTCCTACCAATGGCACTAGAAAGGCACCGTAAGAATGGATTTGAAGCTTTCGCTTCGAGACTCTGTTGGTTTTTTAAAGGTCACCGCTGGCTGCTTCGTCTCTGTCCCAACATATGATATTTGGAGTGTTTTTTATGGTTCTATGTTCGAATTGACATGTGCACGCAACCGGGTGTGCTTATCATGGTGCCATGTGTGATATGACATGTGCGGTGTTGATTCATTGTGGTCTGGAAGTCACCCGAAATTACCAGGCGCCTGGCAGCGCGGTGACAAACATACTCACACACGCTCATACTCGAACTAAGGGTTTCGTGCATTCAGCCACCAATTTGGGGGTGGTCGAGATTGTCCTTTTTGGTATTCTCAGGTGGCCTTTTGCGGAGCCCCTTTAAAGGAAGCGGCCATTTTGACAGCCGTTCAAAATACTAGTACCCCCACAAGGGCTACCTT